TTTTAAATACTTAGCTAAACGTTTTTTTAAAATGTATTGTTTAATTAAAAATATCATTATATGAAAAATCAGATAAACTAACTGGGTATTCCTGAATATAATACCATATTTTCATTTTACAATTATGATGGTTAGGTAAATTAGTCAAGTGATGCTAATATTTTGGTAAGTTGATGTAAGTTGTACTGAAGATAATTTCTGTAATTAGCATAAGCCTTTCATGATGGCTAACATGATGGTACATGTTAGCATGTAGCGAGGTGTTTAATGATACTGAGCATATTAGAACTTAAAGAAAATTGTTATTACTCGACCCATCTTGACAAAGGAGCCAGTGGAAGCCCAGACATATGAAATCTTGGTAATGACTTCTGTGTTGAAGGACATTTTTAAAAATGAATATGCTTTTTCTTGTTTCTTTTTTTTTCCTTTCCTTTCAGTGCTGGGAGTCAAACCCAGGGCCTCCAGCATGCGAGGCAAGCACTTTACCACTAAGCTTCTTCCCTAGCCCTCCACATTTCTTTATTCCAAATTAGGTGATGGTGTTCCCAAAATGTTTGAGAATTTATGCTAGTTTCCATAGGTTGTAGTCCTTATAAGAAATCAGAATATTTCATTCAAAATAATTTCCATAATCTTAAACTGCTGAGTATGGGAGATTAATGTAAATCAACCTTGTTCAGTGTAGTAACTGTTAGCCTCACGTGGCTATTTAAGTAATGAAATAAGATAGAAAATTCAGTTCTACACTAGGACTGTCCACATTTCACATTTTCAGCGGTCACGTGACTGTCTCCCGAATTGCACAGAACAGGCATAGAAGATGTACACTATCACAGAAACCATTATTGGATGGTGTATTCCTCTTATGTTCTGTGCAAGGGTCCCTTAATTTGGTTATACAGTTATTCAGATGCACTGAAGAAAATTCCCACCTCCTCATCATTTGATTCATTTAAAAATATCATTCATCACACAGACCATAGGTCTGTTTATCTTTTTTTTTTTTTTTTTTTTTAGCTAAAGCTTGTACTTCTTTGCATCTTTTCTTAATAATTATCAGAAAGTCATTATGCTTTCTTGCCTCACAGGGGTGTTTAGTATTAATTATAGGAAGGATGCATTGAAATCAGGAGCACAGTGCACAATTCCAGCCTCTAGAAGTCCAAATATGGCAGAATTTGGGGTCATCTATATGTCTAAACTGAATCATCCAAGCAGGAAAATTTGACTCTAGTTGGTTGGATGAGCTAAAACATTCCAAGCATAATTGTGTAATCACTGTAAAGAGTTATTGTGAATTTCCCTGAAGTATACTATCCCTTTTAAAAAGTTGCTGTGGGTGTTTGAGATGAGAGCATTCAAGTATAGATGTGGGTTTGTTCTTTTCAAACCAGACCTAATAGTGATGAAAGGGAGATTATGTGTTAAATTTTCAGTTATGTTCTTTTAAGTTAGGAGTGTCTGTCTACTCACCAGACACTCAAAATTTCTCTTACCACCATTCTTCAAGGGGAAAATGTAAAAGTTGGGGAAAATAGGCAGTCTTATTATAGCTGCCATGAGCCTGGATTTCTGAAGTGGAAGCTATGATTCTCAAGCAAATTTCTACCTACCAACTTCAATAGAACATCTTAAAGTACTTAATTGTACCTTTTTCTATTCTCTTGAAAATAGTTTGACTCCTGGTAGATTTTAATCATCTGAAAGCACATATACTCCTTTCTCTTAATTTTAAGATTGTTTGTTGTGATACAAACTCATCCTTGAGATTTAAATGTATGATTAGATCATTAACTAGGAAAAAAAAAAAAAACCTGGCATCTTCGTGCAGGTGATCAGATGACATAAGCAGTCTGGTTTTAATTTGTGGCCAGTGCTGATTGTAACTCGGAGAGACTTGCTCTTTTTGTGGAATTGGCTGACTAGCTCCCTACATCTGGAGTTAATAAACTCTTTGAGACCACATCAGTTGAGCTTTGCCGCAAGAACTCTTTGATCTGAAAAATCAAGACTGGCACGACTGCTGCTTTGTAGCATTGCATCTGTGTTTTTGCAAGCTCTGGTTGAGATACCAAAAGTAAAGTTAAGATGAGCCTGTTTGAGAACCATGTTATTTCAAAACATTTTTATTACGATAAAAATTTGAATTTGTGTTAGTAAATAAATGATATAGTGGAGGGTTTTATATGCCATTAGTATTTATAAGATCTATCCTTTGAAAGTTCTTTTTTTTTCCCAAGTCTGTTTACAAAGACTTCATTAAAAATAAACCTCACCTCTAATATGAGGCCTGTTTTTTCCCTGCAAGGATAGGCAAGTGTCTTCTCTGATCTGTTTGGTTATCTTGTTCCCTTGCCTTCTGTGATAGCCATCAGTTATCATCTAATCAGCATATTTTCTACATAGCCATTTGTAAATCAATAAAGTCAAGTATATTCCTTTACTTTCTTTTGTAATCGAAAGCATTTTTAAAAACTTAAGTGTAAATATGTCATGGATGAAATACAGTGAATTGAATGAGATTAAGGATAAAGAAATATAAATTGGAAAATTATGTAGAAATTTAAACTGACAAATTATGTAGGTCTTTTTGCATGAAATGACACATCAAAACTGGAGGTTTTTGTGATTATCAAGTGTGAGGCTCACATGTTAAGTTTCAGTCCATATCCTCAGTAGAATTAGAGACTTTTATCTTTCTTACTTTCGTATCAAGGATGGTGTGCATCGTAAATATGTATTTGTTATACAAAGTTCATATTCTGATGCTGTTTTCTAAATCTGATTTCTCATCTGTGTTTTGTAGCTAAGTCTGTGGATTTACTCTACTCTTTGTTGTTTGTGATGTCAGCTTGGTTTGGGGAAATCTTATACACAAATGGGGCAGTGCATACCTAGTTGTGACTAAGATTAGAAACTGAAACTTGATTGAACGAAAATAACCCAAAATTACTTTCCTGAAGACTTTACCTGTATGTCAGCCTGCATAATACATTTCAAACACTTTTGTATATCCCCAATTACTTAATTCTAACACAGTCTTCTATGAGCTAGGTTTATGTATGTGTAATGTGTATAATGAGCAAGCTACTTTCTGCAATATTCCCCTATTTAGGGTTCTCCTGGATAATTCTAGAAATACATCTTGTCCCAAACTTCTCAAGTACTACAGAGGTGTGTGTGTGTGTGTTTACTTCTGTGATGTGAAAGGTAAAGTGTGTGTGTGTGTGTGTGTGTGTGTGTGTGTGTTCTGTGATGTGAAAGGTAAAGTGTGTGTGTGTGTGTGTGTGTGTGTTTACTTCTGTGATGTGAAAGGTAGGGTGTGTGTGTGTGTGTTTACTTCTGTGATGTGAAAGGTAGGAAACCAACCTGAAAATCAATCCATTAAAAAGTTATATCAGGACAAGCAAGAATGAAAAAGGTCATATCAGAAAAAAATAGGACAAACAGTATCTCAGGAGTGAACAGAGGCAGAATTTAGCACAACTGCTTCTGATAGAATGATAGGAAGATGATAATTTGGCTAATTCTTCTCAACTCCTTGCTTTGTAAAAGGCACTATGAATTACCTCACCTGATTTTCCCAGCAGCCCCCAGATGTACAGTTATGGTTAGCACTGTTTTGCAAGTGAGGAAATTGAGTCTTAGGAACAAAGGGTAGTTTGCTAGAGGTCTTTATAGTTAGCGCCTCAAAGAAAAACTAAATTCTTAAATACATAATTGAGAGTATCTGCACATTAAAAATAGCTCCCATCTTAATCTCAGTTTACTGTCATAACTTGTGAGTGTGTGGTGCTCAAGCCCAGGGTCTGATACAAGCTAGACAGGTGTTCTGCCACTGAGCTACATCCACAGCTCCTTAACTTTTTTCTTTAGTAATGTTTACAAGTATATGCTTGCAGTAGAAATATCAAATTATGTCCTAAAATCCTTCTTTCCAATTCTAAATCCAGAGATGTAACCATCGCTTGTTCTTACGCATAATTCCAGAAATTTCCTAAGATGACACAAACAAATGTGTATAATTTTTGTATACATGCTCCCCTAATTTAAATGTTACTTTCTTCCAGTTAAGTTTGCACTGAGAGTTTTTTTTTTATTTTGCAGTGAAATTTAATGATGGATACACCCTTAACAAACTTCAGCAAAAAAATTAATTTATACACTGCTCACTATAATTTCACCTTTCCTTTCTCTTCTTTCTGACTCCTGGTTTACTTTCACAGACGTGTATAACTTTAAGTGTTGCTTTATTTCGTTACAAGAATGCTATGGTCATATTTTGATCATTAAAGTTATTGGCTTCTTATTTAGTTTCCTGGAGGAATGTTGATATTGGCTACTTGCTAACTCATAGTTTGCTTATCTGAAGCAAAGGTTTGCTAAAGGAAATTAATACTGCTCTAACAAATGAAATTTTTCTTAAAGTTACGCCAGACTTGAAAGTGTACTTGAAATTAAAGAATTAAAACCTCTTAGCAGTATTTGATTTTATTTGCTAATCTCAATAAGTTAAAAAAGTTTCTGAACAATTACATTGGCCAGTTGGCTTAGTAGTAACAAATATTGCAACATTTAATCCAATTCATTTTGTCATATTTAATACAGCTTGTAAGTGAAATGAATGAATTTTATGAGCCAGAATTTTATATCATACTACGTATCCAGAGGCCTTGGTTTGCTCCGTCAGATTTTGAATTGTAAGCCCATATACAATTTCTGTTTTGTTACTCAAGTCAACATTTATGGCTGTATTCAGACACCTGGTGTAATCATATCATCAAAATATATTGCATGGATATTTGGAGTCATTTTTTTTTCCTAGTAACCAGCTAAAAGGAAACGCATAGCTAGTAACCAAGTTTGACATTTATATGGATTTAGGCAGTATTCTTTCCATTTGTGGTAGGCCTTTCTTAGGCCCTGCACTGAGCGTAGAACTCTCAGTAATATGATAATCACTTACATCGTCATTAAGTTTCCTATTTAATTTTAAGGTATATGCACCATCCCCAAATTCCGATGATTTCAACCGCGAATCTCCTAGCTACCCATCTCCTAAGCCACCAACCAGCATGTTTGCTAGCTCTTTCTTTATGCAAGGTAAGTACTCCCAGAGGTGTCACCTAAACCACAGTCATCTGTAGATTAGTCAATATTTTACAGTGTGAGGAACAAGACTGTCCATACAAGAATTCAGATATTACTTATCTAGGGTTTTTTTGACTGAAGTAAATTAAAATTTTTCATTGTAATTTTATAGTGCTGTTTGTTGAATTGTCTAACAAATCATTGGAGTGCTTATCCAGTACTTACTGAATTTAATTTTAAAAAAATTAAGTTGAAAAAAATGAGTAAAGCTGCTTTGGATTGTTTTAGAATTTAAAAATATGAAAGCTATTAATAACTCTAGTTCTGGTTTAAATTAGATTCATATCACACCTAGAATTACCAATATAAATAAAGAGTGACTGTCAGAACAGAGTAAAACTTAGAAAAAAAGTATTGCATTTCCTCTAATTCATGTTTAGCAAATCATTTTTATTTGGTCTCCTGTGGCTTGGCACTATGGGAAGCATGTATATGGAAGCCATAAGTTATTACATAAATGGTTCCTTAACTTCACACAATGAGTGAAGTCATTTCTGACACACTTCATATGAAGGCTAACTGTAAGGTTCTTATCAGTCACTTAGTTTTACTTCCTTATTCCACAGTTTCAAAATGTCTGATATAATATGCATTGCCTATTATAAAGAACTTTTATGTATATTTATGGGTATGCCATTGAGTCAAATTCAATCCAGATTATCCCCAAATTTGGAATTTTTATTATCTTCCTTAATATGAATTTATATCTTCCGAGGATTTTTATAATGACTTACCTACTTCAATTTTGGATTACTTTTTTTCTTACATAAAGCTTGTCTTCTTTTATATAATAACTTTATAGTTTAGAGGGAGGAAAACCGAATAGAATATTAGTTTTGGAGAAGGGAAGAAAAAACATCAGGAGAGTACCCTTTGAATTTTTATAAACATCATCGAAATAAAAGAAAAAATTTAGCTAAGGAAAAGTTTTTCTTTCTCTTTTTGCCTTAGATGGGACCCACAATTCTTCTGACCTTTGGAGTTCATCAAATGGGATGAGCCAGCCTAGTTTTGGTGGAATTCTGGGGACCTCCACTTCCCACATGTCTCAATCCAGTAGTTATGGCAGCCTTCATTCACACGAGCGCTTGGTAGGCTGTCACATCACATATGTCCTGGGTGCAGCAGTATTTTGTCCTCGTTTGTGTTTCTTTTTGACTTTCAAGACAAAATTTGATTCTGCTTCCAAGCTCACTGAATTTACCATGACTTTTTTAAAAAGTTGTAATGCTCTCTTTGGACCTGTTGCAGTAGTTGTCCAGTGTGTGTGCATATCATTCAGAAATACGTACTTAATAGATAACGTCTCATCCGCCTTTTCCTAGAGTTATCCTCCACACTCGGTTTCACCGACAGACATAAACACCAGTCTTCCTCCGATGTCCAGCTTCCACCGCAGCAGCACCAGCAGCTCCCCATATGTTGCTGCCTCACATACTCCTCCCATCAATGGAGCAGATAGCATTCTAGGTGAGCCTTCTGGGTTCACAGAACGTCCTACACCGTAACTTGGGGGGTTTTGGTGAACCCTGTATCTTTCCATATATTTTTCAGTAAAATATTGAAAGCAAACTTCATTTTCATTAATAATACAGAAACCAGTGAGGAACTTGGCTTTACAGTTTATTAAGTATACCACACACAAAGTATTTCCTGGAGTACTGTGACATATGTGCAGTAACAATAAAGAACACCCTTGGAATAATGGGAAAATACCTAAAAAAAAAAAAAAAAGGTGCACTATCCTGCTGAAATTCTTGATTTTTTTTCCCTGCTTAAAATCTCCAGGAACCAGAGGGAATGCTGCTGGAAGCTCACAGACAGGTGATGCACTTGGAAAGGCTTTGGCATCTGTAAGTATTGATTTCACATTTTCTACACTGCTGAATTCAGTGATTAGACTTTGTGGATAATACATGTCATAGTTAAACTGTGTGGTTTTAACCATGTCAACTTCATTACTCAATTAGAGTGATTCTCAGTTTATACTGTTAAATTAGCTCATGACAACACCTTCCCACCCCATTCTCGAAAGAACTACCTTTCTGACTGCAATTGAAATATGTCTGTCTTTGTTTTAGTGGAACGTGTGTAAGTAGAAGGAAGAGAAATGTGGGCATTTTAAAACCTAAAGCAAAAATTGCTGAGCTTAATCATTAAGTGAGAGTATTTGTTTTTAAATACACACTTAGTGGCCCATTAAAATAAATCAAGTGGAACCAAGAAAGACAACTCAATCATTCTTCTGATCCAGAGAATGAAATGCCTTTATAAGAGCTTTTCCAGCATGAAAATATTTATATCTGTATATATTTTTAAAAGGGAAAAAGCAATCATCTTCAGCTGTTTCATTCAAAAACTAGGAAATGAAAACCTAAAAAAATAAATAATAGCCACTCCGCCATCACTGTAGTCACCTGTGCTCCTGTGCTGTGCTCACTGCCTCCACTGTCTACCTCTGTCCTCTTAGCTTTCACTTGGACAGAGGGAGCCATTTGGTAGCAGTGTCTGTCATCTTTGGTTCTGGAAGGGTTGGGAGCCCTGTGCATAGCCACCTGTTAGTTCTCTTCCCAGACAAGAATAAACTTTTGCTTCTATTTAAAAAGGGGGGAAAAATAAGAAACCTAGATTCATTGAAGAACTCATGCTAACACTGATAAAACTGATTAAAAGATTTTATATTTTCTTGTGCAGCTAGTTTATTAATGACAAAGAGATGATTGCATTTTAATGTCTGACTCTTAAAACATAATTAAAGTCTCTTCTTTTGGAATGCTAAAATTAGAAGGAAGAGCATTTATCAGTAATCTACAGGTTTTCAAATCTGATTATTCATGAGACATTCTGCTTTGCACTTTGTAAAATGTCTTCCTAGGCTTGCTTTTTTTCTTCTTTACTTTTGAGCAGTCTGCCTCTTCGAATTCCCAGAGTTGTCTTGTGTTGTCTGTGCAGTGCAGTTTAACTCTGTCAAACACTGTTGTTGCTGTTTGTGGGGAAGTATGTAAGTAGTAGGAAGCAACTGTTGAACACTTAAAGAGATAAACCTCTTTACATATTGTTTCTATAAATGAACCTTTCTCTATAGGTAAGTAGAAGCTTCTTGAGAAATAAAGCCAAGTCAAATTCATCTAGTACACAGTGGAGCCTTGCACAAAATGGAACACAGTAAATGTTTACTGAGTTCATTCTTAGAACATATGTAATAATGGTGGTGATAATAGCAAAACCCACAAAAATTATCAGCTATAATTTCAATGCTTTCTAGGTGCTTGTCACTGTATAAGCATTTACATGCCCCGTTTGATTTAATCCTCAAGAAAAACCAGTCAGGTTGGCATTATTATCCCCACATTACAGAGGAGGAACTAAGATTTAAAAGGTTAAGTAACTTGAGCTCAGAAAGATTATGTAGCTTGCCCTAGGGATCACAAAGCAAGTCAGGGTAGAGCTCATGTACATTAGACCCTGGTCTAACTAGCCTTGTGCTGCTTCACTCACCATGACTCTGTGTACAGGAAAAGCAGTGCTACAGTGATTATGTCTTACAGAGGCATGAAGGAGGATTACAGAGAACTATCCCACCTTTTTCTGAACTTACTGTCATCAAATAAAGCTATGTATTTCAAAAGAAATTTGTCATTCTATATTGTTAAATCCAAGAGATGCCCAAGTGTTTGATTGGCTACCATATCCTTCTGCTGATTGTAGAAGAGTCCAGCAACAAATATTGCACGTGTAAGAGAACAAGCAACATTCAAACTTTTACTATTAGGCCACTTTTAAATATATAATCTATATTTGAGGTTTGTCACAAGACATTTGTTTATTTTATTTGAGAAAAACTTCTATAAAGAAACCTTGGCATTTAAGATTTCTCAGTAACCCTTCAAGCTCATCTTTAGTTACCCTTCAAGTCCTTGAATGTCTTCCCATATTACTGACAGCATACTAGCCAAACTAGGATGGCATTTGAAAAAGAAAATCCAAATTCACTCTGAGTGGAAACCAGGGAAGAAAATGTTTAATCTAGTTAGTGGGTGGGCTTTGGTCGTCATGGAAACTCAACTCTGTCATCCTGTGTTGTTACTAGGCAGGAGCAGCCAGGTCATTCCATAAATCATTTCTGTCATAGCTGACGGTGATGCATTCCATCTGCTCCGTCACTACATGCCATAGTCCACACACTTCAGATCCCTTCCTTCAGTCCATCTGCTGCCCACCCCCAATCCAAACACCTCCCGAAACACATTCTTTCTTTAGCTTCCATTACAGATGCCCTTTCACATTAATATATGTTTAGTGTTTGAAACATACTAAAAAACAAAAATACTACTTTGGGGATAGGAAGGATTAGAAGAGATGAGAAGAAGGAATTTAATGAGGATTACATTTGAGAGTCTGACATGCAGATCAGAATTTCACATTAAGCATTACAGATCTTTGGGAATGGTGACCATGACTATTTTCAGAATTTTAAGTTGTTGAGAATGTGATACTTTTAATATAGCATCTAGTTTTAGGTGGAAAAACATTGTGCAACTGTCATTAGAAGTTAATGCTAGCTCACCAATTGTCTGATGTATGTCTTAGAAGGTCTTTCATGTGTGAAACATCACAGGGTACAACCTTTGTTCTTCAGTTTAGGTATTAAAGAGCACGAAGAATACTGTGTGATTAAACATGTAAGGCCAGATAATGCATTTGCAAAGGTTCCTTTATTTCAGGTTTAAGCCTGGATAATTGTGGTCTTAATCTCAGGATAGCAAGAAAGAGAATTATACATGAAAGTATTTACACAAAGTTCCCAAAGCCCGTGGATTATGCATTAGTTTAGATAATAAACTAGGGTAGATAGAAGGAAAGGAAAATCTGTGTATTCGTGCCATTTCTAATGTGTTTCCCTGAACATTTGCCAGACAATAACCCTTTAAGATTGTGCCCACGGAGAGTTATATAGAGGAGAAACATCTGGTTTATTTCAGTGCCTAATACCATATCAAAACACTTGGTCTTTAATTTAGAGGAGATCAAACAAGAGGACTGTTTAACTTTGTTGATTATATCAGACTTCTTTGTGATAATTTATGTTTTGATTTCTACCTCAGTGAGAGAGAGAGAGAGAGAGAGAGATTGATTTTTAATCTGGATAGTAAATGGTCAGTAGTCTCTAACAAAAGAAAAGAAAATTCAAGGAAGTTGACGTTTAAAAGTAATTCATGAAATAAGTTTCTTTGTTCCTTAGACTCAATAACATTACCATAATAAAGATTAACTGAAATGTGCACTGTAGTGTTGAAAAACTGGGCTGCCTTTCCAGGGTTGGGCCCGGGAGCTCCCCATTGTCTCTTTTTTGTCTGAGGCCCTTTTCATTAGCCTCTGGCTTTATTGGCACCCTGCTGGTTAGAATGGACCATGACTGATGGGAGGAGGAGCCTCATTTGTTGCAGTAAAATGAGGCATATTACCGTTTAAGCCTGGCAGAAGGTATTGGGAGTTATTCATCATTGGTCATTTAACGGTGGGAGGACCACAGCCTGCATGCAGAATGAGTTCTTACTTTGTGTTTATGCTTGAGACTTTAAATCACTCCCACCCCCATTTTTAAGTGACTGACTTTCTTCTCCCTTTCTTCCTCCTTCAAACACCAGTGTTGGAGTTGCTTAAGGCCAGAAAACCTAAAAAGAAATATATTCTTGATTTAGAATTTCTTAAAATAGCACAATTTCTATAGAGAAAAAAACATAATTTGCCTGTAATTTTTTTAATAGAGTAAACCTGCAGAGGTAAAGTTTAGTGAAATGATTTGTGATCTTTAATGTTGTATTGCTCCTCCTCTCCCCACATACACATTCTTTTCATGAAAGTTAAGAAATAAGAAAGGATCCTATAACTTGCTGGGCCATCTGAGAGCACAGAAAAAGAATAACAATTCTGTCTGTCATCGCTAATGTGATAGATGAATGGTAAAAATGACTTTTATTGTACAAATGGAGGCACTTCTTTTGGGAAAAGAAAATGCCAGAAATTATATGTTTTTATATTTGATACAGTTTTGTTACTGCTTCTCCTTTTACACAGTGACTTTTTTTTTTTAAGCTCACACCTGTTTACATACAGGATTGGAACACTCGGCTGTCATTTAAAGGTAGTGATCTTACATGACTCTAAAATATAACCTCTACCTTCTTTGACATAAAGGAGCTGACATTAGTGCTTAACTAGCTTAGGGATTGTGTAACTGTAAGGGCAGAATTTATCAGGAACAGTAAGAGTCCATTTATTCTCTCAAAAGCCCATTACTGCCTACTAATGAGATATGGACAGCCTAGTACATTAACGCTAATTCCCAGAAATAGTGGAATCTCACTATGTAATTGTTCTCAAAGCTTATGCAATAAAACTGATTTAAAATGAAGTCATCTGTATCACAAGCTTTTTCCTCCTTTGGTATTTCTATTACTGACCCCCATTACATAAATGCTAAGATAAATGTGCCATTTAAAGAGCCCTGCTTTTTATCAATAAGCATTACAGCAAATTTCAGGTACAATGTTTATCATTGAAGTTTAAAAAAAAATTAAGCACCTACTTGTGAAAGACAGTGGCAATCAAAGGTGCATTCATTATTGTACTGTATTCCCTGCCTTCAGAGAACACAGTCAAGGAGACAGATAAGAGAGACACACAAGTGACGACAGTATACAGCACACTGAGGCAAAGAGCTAAAGAGAAGTTCAGGTTATGATAAAAGTAAAAGGAAGGTGGAATAACCTGTACACCGGGAGGTGACATTCAAGCTAAACTTTGATGCCGCATAGAATTCCATCAGGGAGAAGCTAAGAAGTAGACATTCTGAAAGTAGTTGTGTTGGAAAAATTAAAAGTATATATATATTGGGGGCTAATAGAGTGTATAGGTTGTAAGTAGATTATAATAAAGTAGAAAGATATTTTGTTACCAGATTATGGAAGACATCTAACATCATTTTGTTGTTTTATTTGATAGGCAACAGGAAGAATTTTATTGTATAAATTGTGTTTAAAGACAGTAGCTCAGACAACTACATATGGGATGAAAAGAGACAGAGTAACCAGATGTATAAAGACCAAAGCGTCTCTCCCCATGCCAACCCCTAAGTCAAGATTTAAAGTGGTATCATGGCAGTAAGAATGATGTGTTTCTGTTCCAGAACCACAATTTGCCCTGGGATATTCTTGTCTACAGAGAGAAGTGTAGAGGGGCAGCAGAAAAGAGGGGAGAAAGTACTCCTAAACCAAGGTAGAGGGACAGAAGGGTTGAGATGGTTAGGATAGGAAGCTGTTTGGGGTGGCAATGCTAAGTTTGGGTCTGGATGTACACAGCCTGAGATGAAAGAAGAGCTTAGCTCCTCAGATGAAGACAAGCAGCATAAGGATAGAAGTGTCAACTTAGGAGTTATTCACTAGGATGTGAGCATTGATACTTTATAAAGAGCAGTGTTACTGGGAGATAAAGCCCAGGTGAAGAAAACTGCAACTAGAACTCTGGGGAGACCTACATTAATGGCATTGGGAAAGTCAGAGAGAGATGGAACAGAAGTGAATACATCTAAAGACTGAAAAGTCACTCAGGTAGAATTTCCTAGCAAGGGTTATGAGACTTGTTCTTACAACAAATATATATACTGAACCTGCACCATTTATCTGCACTGCTGTGCAATCTGAAGCAATGAACAAGACAGTCCTTGCTGTCCTGGACCTTCGCTTTTACTGGCAGAAGGGGTAAGAGACAGTTAATGAATGGTTAGGAACATAGTATAAGCACTAGGAAGAAAACAAAAGCTGGAGGGCACAACAGAGAGGGATGCTATTTCTCCAGTGCTTTCATTTTATTAATTCTGACAGGTGAGGATATAAAACCAACGAGTTGGTCTAATTTGTGTTAATCACAGTTTTGCATTTCTCACTCCCCGTCAACCCACCATCCATATCTTCAGCCCTTCCTTCCCTTACCAATACTGTATTCAAGACATGTTTCATAAATGGTACCAGTACTATATTCAAGACATGTTTCAGTTTCTCATGAAAGGTTTAATTATTTGAATCTTGAACATAAGAAACCGTGATTTATAGTGATGAAGTGGTATGCTAAAATGGATTTTTGTCAAAGTTTGGTGACCATACCTGAGTTACTTACCTAGTTGAAACAAATCAGTTACGTGTGTGAGCCAATAGAAACTACAGTGGGAACTGTAGCTAATTTTCAGTTATGTCCTATGAATTGTTTCAGGGAAATGGAACCCAGGACCTTGTGCATGATAAACAAATGCTCTACCACTGAGCAATGTCCCAGCCTTTGGTTTTTTGACATAAGTTCAGGCTGGCCTGGAACTCAGCATCTTCCTCCTCAGCCTCCCAAGTGTTGAGATTACAAAATTGTGGCACCATGTCCCAGCCCCATGGTTTTTTTGAGAGTTAAAGGCTAACTATTTAAAAATATTTTCTTTGGTTGGATTTTTTTTTATTAGTGTCTTGTTAATTGTTCAAAGAGGTTTCATTGTGATATTTCCATACATGCATGTAATGTAATTTGATCAGATTTACGCCTTCTGTTACTCTTTCTTATCCCCCGTTTTTTGATCATGTTCACATATACACACCCCATCATAAATTGCTTTAAAAGACCATTTCAAAGGTGATAGCTGGGTGTGGCAATGCATGCTATAAACCAGTAATCCCAGTGCTCAGAGGTTGAGGCAGAAGTTTGCAAGTTCAAGGCCAGTCTGGGCTCCACAGTAAGTTTAAGGCAACACATCTTTGAAAGAAAATAATAAAGAAAAATGAGTTACCATGAGTTAATAGTTTTACAAATTGATTAATTTTAAAGGATTCCACTTCCTGAGATGGTATATTCTGGAAAGATTGTTTAATTATCAAGTATTTTAAGTTTATAGTCACATATTGTTTTGAGACAAGGTCTTGCTGTGTTGCCCAGCCTGGCTTTGAACTCACTATCCTCCTGCCTCAGCCTCCTGAGTGCTGGGATTACAGGTGTGTTGCTACCACACCTGGCCTTACTTCTTGTTTTCCTGTTTTAATAATTTGAAACTTTAAATTATTTCCAACTGGAATAATAAATTGATACCTGTTTATTAGAATGCATGATACTTTTATTGCTACTTTAAAAACTGAGGTTACTTGAACTTCAGTAATGAAACAGTCTTAAAATTCATGAAAACACCTTTTCACTGTGAGTCTTAGGGCTGGGGACTTGGATCATACAAATAACTCCCTATGAATGGGTTTGTGCTGTTGTGGCTACCATGTATTGATGCAGGCATATCTCCTGTTTCCTGGTTAGATTTATTCTCCTGACCATACCAGCAGCAGTTTTCCATCCAACCCATCAACGCCAGTCGGGTCACCTTCACCTCTCACAGGTAGGCCTCTCTTTTATCTAATTACTTCAGAACACATGTGATTCTCCTTGGAAACAGTTCAAACTCATTTATTTTTCAATAAAATCCAATAAAAATTATGGAAAAGATCATTTAGATTGTGCTGGAAAGGCAGCATCTAAAGCAGACGCTTCCTCTAGAGTTCATTTTGGAAAATATTGAAATACATGCTAGTTTTGAGTTATTTATGCATTATCTTCCTAGGTTCCTAAAATCATTTGTGACAATTTCTAATATCAGTTGATAGTAGATTAGAATTGTTATAAGAGTAAAAATAAAGCTTGGCCATCAGGATGAAGGTAAAATACCAAGGAGCTAAATCCAAAATTTTTATAAGCTAGAAAATAAAAAATAATCTATTTAGAAATTCGAGGGCTGGGCAGATAGCTCAGTGGTAGAGTGTGTGCTTAGTGTGCAGAAGGCCCTAGGTTTGATCCCCAGGCGGGGAGCGGGCAGGGTAAATACATGTGTGTCTTGCTGTCTGCACTTACTATGTATCATGTATAAGACTCAGGATGAATACTCTTTCTATTAGTCTTTTTATTGTTGTTAAATCTAGTCAGTTATGTTTTCCCATATATAAAAAAGTTCTTGGTGATGATGTAGTTTGTCTTCTAAGGGAAAGAACTCTCCATGAACAGGGCGAATACTATGAGTGGAGATCCATAAGTGATTCTCACATTCACTTTACTTTCCCCTGACTTTTTGACATTAGTTTTGTCACATTCTGGACACTGTCATCGTATGGTATGCATTTGTTGAAACACAAGTATTGTTACTGTCATTGGAATTGAAAATGTGAAGCTTTTCTCTTAAGCTATAATTTAAAACTGGACCTATGATTTTCAAAGCAATATTTGGAGAAAACACTTGCTGAAGGGGGAAAAAAGTACTATTTTTTTTTTTCACTTTTGAAGAAAAAGCCATTAGACAACTTGAGTAAAGTTGCCATGTTTTTCTAACAACAGTTGACCTCAGAAATAATTGTTTTTTTCCTGAGCAAACCACTGGTTAGGTCCAAGTGGTTTTGTTGTTATTCATTGTTTTTGTGTTTCGTGGGCTTTTCTGAAACACTGAGGTCTGAGGAGTCAGGCCTCAATGTCACCTGTGCGTTGTGCCTGTGGCTCTGCTGAGAAGCACTCCGGCGTGGAGATGATGGGCTCCAGGCAGCTGCTCTCAGATAGAGCAGGTTGTGCTTCTTTCTCAGACACCATGGCCTCAGCTGTCTAGTAAAAGTTGAGCAGCTGTTCCTCACATAGACAAGACTATGAAAGACCCATTGACTTAGAGTTGTTGTTTAACGGAGCTGAAATTACAGAAAGAATGAAGTAACTTTAACCCTACTCCCCCTCTTGGCACGATTTTACTAAAATTATCAGTGTTGTTGCCATAGCCTGTTTTCACTTTCTCCTCTGAGGTGTCTGTATCTGCCCTTACTGTACCTCCCCAGTGCTTCTCCTCTCTGTCAAGCAAGGCAGCAACCCAAGAGTCCCTTTACTTTTAATTAACACTGGGGAAGAAATATGTCATGGAGCTCAATGTCTACCTGTGAAAGAACATGAGTTAAAAAGGAGAAAAAATCAGGGGGGAGAAATGAACCAAGCCTTGTATGCACATATGAATAATAAAAGAAAAATGAAAAAAAAAAAAAAAAAGGAGAAAAAATAAAATAACAGTCCCTAGCATATCTCAAATTTCCTTTTCCATTGGTGTTTGATGTTTAAGGGATGATATTCTTTTTCCCCTATAATTCAGCTGATTAATGAAAATGTAGATAGTTGAATTATAAAATGAAAATATTAATAGATTTCTTTTTCAGTTCAGCAGTCACCATCAAAGAAACTCTTTCAGGTACTTCTGCTGAAACATCAACTCAAAGACTGATTTTATAGAGGTGCATCTATCCTGTCTTCTGTGTCTACTGCTTGTTTCTTATCTCTGTGCTTCCTGCATTGCACATGTGTGCACAGACACCATGGCAGAACAGAGACAGAGAAGAAGACAGGAAAGCACTATGTGATAAAGTATTCATAGTCAAAAGGAAAAGTGAAAAAAAGTAGTCCAGTGACTCCTATGTGAGATGTGGAAATTATTTTGTACTTTGTGTGGCAAATGGACTGTTAACTAGAATTAAAAGTCCTGCCAGTTCTGTGGGTTGGTCTTCTGCATTTGCCCTATTCCTTATGCTTTGGGAGGGGTAGACACACAGGTACAAGAACCACACAGGCAGCTTCTAAGTCAGTCATTCTTGGTCAAATCCACCTCATTTTCTTTGGGAACTTTACAGGCCAAGAGCATACACTCCTACCTAGAGAGTGGTTATAAGAAAGCTTCTGTTGAACCAGTTAGTATGCTTTAGGGTGAAAGACAAAGAAGCTTATCCCAGCTGGCTGGAACAATAAGCATTTGGTACCTTGTGTGACCGAAGCCCATAGCAGGCAAGGAAGGTGTCGGCCCAGTATAGCAGAGGTCCTGCCTTTCTTAGCCATTGTTTCTCAGGCTGATGGCGTGACAGCACTAGGAAGTACTGCATGCAGACCTAACAGTGTCCAACAGAAGGAAAAGGATCATCTCTTCCTTGTTTCTTGAGAAGTCTTTTCTAGAAGCCTCTTCAACAGATTTCTCCTTGTTTCATTGGCCAACACTGGGCATAGTGCAGTTGCTTGTAACAAAGATGGAACTGCCGTGTTTATCTTAGGTAGCAGAATTTATCCCAAAAAATAAATCCTCTGTGGTCCATACTAGGAAAGAACAGGTCTCCCTCCCATCTCAACACCCTGTTACGAATAAAATAGGGCTCTGGCGGCAAGATAGAAGAGGGGAATGGCTGTGCTACCCCACTGGGAGGAGACCCAGCATTTGTGTTAGAAGCACATGCTGGGTAAGAGGCGTGGCAGGCAAGCAAGCAAAGCCATCCTTTACCTTTCTTTGCCTCCTTCTGGGATATCAGTGAATAGAAGCTCAGTAATTGTAATGTTCCGTAGCAGTCCTCAGAATATTCACAGTAAAAATTAAATCCTTAGTTTGGTCTGGTTTAATCAATGAGATATTTATTTTTATAATCTGCCAGCATGCCTGGTACTAAATCAGTTATCTGACTTCAGCAAGTTTTCAGTCTAATTGAGAAAATAAGATTTTAAATGCATGGTCAGGATAGGTTTTATGAAGGGAATGTTTTTTAATTTTGTTGCTATTTGTGGTACTGGGGTTTGAACTCAGGGCCTCACACTTGGGAGGCAGGAAGTCTCTCACTTGAGCCACTGGCCAACATTCCTTCTTTTCTTTCTTCCTTCCCTCTCTTTCTTATTTCTCGATAGGGTCTTGCTGCTTTGTCCAGAGTTGGCCTCAGGCCACAGTCCTCCTAATTATGCCTCCCACCCAGCTGGGATGACAGGTGTGTGCCACCATGCTTGACCTGTTTGTTGAGATGGGATCTTACAGCTTTCTGCCTCACCTGGCCTTGAGCCTCCATCCTTCTAGTCTTTGCCTTCCACGTAGGCGTGTACCACCATACCTAGCCCCATGAATGGTAGGATTTTTTTAAAGGAGCAGAGGGATTTTTCTGGTTATGAGGAAAGAGCACAACCAAGATCCATGATCCAGTTGCAAGAATATGTGTGACCTATTCATCCAGTCACTAAGGGGACTCCTTCCAAATTATTCATTTGTGGGAGTGCAAAGCATGAAAATGGATAGGTGGTTGGAACTAGACTGTGGAAAGCAGAACGCTCCTTTAGGTTTATCCATTCCCAAGCATGAGGAAATTTCATCAAAGTTTGACTTTAGGGCATGCTTACAAAGAGAAATAGCTGACCCAGTAAGAAAATATGAAGCCAGGTGCAATGGTGTACACACCTGTAATCCCAGATGAGGTAGGAGGATCATGAGTTCAAGGCCAGCCTGAGCTATATAGAAGACCCTGCCCTCAAAAAAGAAACAAAATGAAAGAAAGGAAGGGTAAATGGTCCTAGGAATTCTCTTAGCTGCAAAAAATGGTGGTTTATCAGCCAATTATAGTAGGTGAAATAGTAAGTCTTATTCGGAGTGAAAACAGATACAAAATACAGGATGATTTAGACTTTATCATCAAAGCCTTTCCAGATTTTCAACCAAAAAGTTTAGCTCTCTTACACTAGTTACCCACTAACTCGTTTTCTAGAAATGCTCCAATAAGCATTAATATCAAGTAGGTTTATTATAATCCTTTTAGACTAAGACCTGCATTTTATGGTGGTCAGTCAATAAAAAGTCAAGGGCAGTTGTTTCCAAATAGAATCACTGAAATTTTTGCTCATTGAATGGAAGGAAGCAGAAGCCCAAACCCTCTGTATATTTCTAACACTGTGCATCAACTGTTGGGGAAGGGAAAATAGCTGAGTCTCTAAGTCATCCTGAGGTTTCCAGTCTTTGTACTTTCCTTTCTCCATAGTCACTTATTAATCCTATAGTGGATTATTGCAAGCCAGAATCTGTATATCTTATTCACACACTAGTTTTATGAAGACATAAAGCCACAGGTTTGTCTAGTGTCAGGTGCATGCTAGTGCATGCTAGTGTCAGGTGTCCAGAATTTTGAACACCCCCCCCCAAAAAAAAAAGATCTTCTTCATAGCTAATAAGTCATCAGTCAGTGGTCGAGGATTGCAAAAGCTTTGGGATGTTGACTTTTCCTCTTTCATTTATTGCATGATAAATCCATCATTAGAGCTGGTAATAATGTAATGCTGGCACCAGAAAGCCTTTAGGCTTGTGAAGTAAGTGCTTTCATAACTCTGAAGGATCAACTTCATAAGGCAGGTTAAAATAAAAAATTATGTGTTCATGTTTTTCTACCCAGAGATTACAAATTAGCTGACGATATGAATCAACCAGATTATATATCCACTGATTCTAGTATCTACTAAACTTGTGTGCGTGTATGTGCGTGTGTGTTGTGTGTGTGTGTGTGTGTGTGTGTACTGCTGGGGATCAAACCCAGGGCCTCTGCGTGCTAGGCAAGTACTTTACACATTGAACTTCCTCCTCAGCCTCAACCAAACTTCTGTACTCTCCTTTGAGTTTTACTGGCCATGGTATTGACTTCTGAGCTGTTTTATCTAATCATCCAGTCATCCTCTGTATGACCAATAGCATGAAATTTTAAAATGATTAGATAGAGTTATATATAGCTTTATCCATGAAATAAATGTAGTTTAGAGTTGTATGAAGTTTAAACAGATATCTTATTATTGATTTAACACTATTAGGATTCTAATTTAACCAAATGCATAACAACAGGGAGCCCAATCTATAATAATAAAAACAAAATAGGCTTAAACACATGGCTATTTTTTCCAATTAAATGGATATTGTAGGGGTAGACTTTCATATAATTTCTTCATATCACCATCAAAAAACTGCGAATGTATGGTTGGTGTATACTTCAATGGTAGGTGCTTGCCTAGCATGTGCAAGGCCCTGGGTTCCGCCTAACCCTACACTACCAAAAAAAAAGAAGAAAAATGAAAAGAATATAGATTGATATGATTTCTTATGTGGGTAACTTGTTGTGTATGTCTAATTTCTCAAAAATAAACTAGGGAAGCATCACAAAAATTACCTGTTTTACAAAGCCTCTACAAGCATACTGGCCATTCTGAGGTGTTTAAACATAAAACTTGCATTTATATTTCCTGAAAACTGGATAATTTGAGATCTGGCTTCTATCACAAGCTGATCACCCAACAGGGTTGGGAGGAGAGTGGAGCAAAATGATCAAAATGATTTTTTTCAATAATTTAGGGTCTTCTTCAGAATAGACTATGATTAGCCTCTCCACCTAAAATTCATGATTCTCTATCAGTGCTCACTCAGCATACTGCACTGAGATTGTGTTAAAGTGTTGGTTGATTGGTTGCTTATTTTTATATATGTATTTTTCAGATAGTTGCTAAATTTTCTGGCTTGCTAAATTCTACTTGTTAATTAATTATAAAAGTGGTCCATGAGTCTCTGTTTCAATGGGCAATAGTAGATCTTCCATAATTTGTTTATGTGATTGATTTATATTTCTTTGTCTAGCAAGAAGCCTTTTAATGGTAGTCCAAGTAATTCGTTTATAATTTGCTCGTTAGTAAAAAGAAATTATCTAAAAGACATAGTATGTATTTTTCTCACAGTTTTAGCATTGAAAATTCAGTTATGCATATAATTTGTTATGAAATCTAATTGGGTTATTAAGAGTCTGTGTATCACAACTTTTCAAGTTGCAAAATGTATGAAATTGGTTGAAGGATGGTTCACAGGTGGCTCAGTTGTTAAATGATGTTGTTAAGCTAAAATGAATGTAATTGTTCCAACTTAAGCTTTTCTGAGATAACAAATGAGTTGTAGTGTTACATTATCTTTAGCTTCCTAACTATGATCCAGAGACCTATAGTAACAGCTGTCTTAGCATACACACAGCAATATGCAAACTATGTAAACTTTCAGTTTCCCACTTAGATTTCCAATATAATTGAGGTTGTCATTGAAGCTTTTAAGAACAATAAAGTATGGCTGCAGGGTGGCTCAAGTGGTAGAGTGCCTGCCTTGCAAGTGTAAGGCCCTGAGCTCAGACCATAGTGCTGCCAAAAAGAAAGAAACAATAATGTATATTTAATGACTGGTCTTTATTATTTTCTGTAAATAACTTTTTTTCAGATGAACAATAATGAAATAGTTGTTTGGCCTTTTTCTTTTAAAAATTATTTTGGCAAGACAGTTAAACCATTGCATCCTTCCCAACACATGGATTTTTTTCTTTTTTTTTCTGATCCTGGGGATTAGACTTGCACATGCTAAGCACTGAGCTGTACCCCCACACTCATTCTTTATGAACTTGTACACTTTCTTTTTGTCTTCATTTTTTTTTTTACATTTCTACTTTCCTAACATTAAAGAATAAACAGCATTTAACAAAACTTTTCAAAATGATATTTTCTGAAATTAAATAATGCATCTTGGTATAGATTGTGTTGGAAAAATTTTCAACAATGACCCCAAATGCATTTATAGACATTTGAAATTGGCTCATCTGTGCATTGCTAAATGCATTGTTATTGTTACCATTTGTAAAGCAATTGACCTTGTGAATTAAGGATCATAAAAATGTGTATATCCTTTAATTCAGAAGTGCTTTTTAACTTGAAATTTATCCTGCCCAAGAAAAATATGGCAATGCTTTTTATAGCATCATTCATAATAACTAATAGCAACCAAAATGTCCAGTGATGAGGTAATGGGAGGTTAAACAAATTCTGACACATAAAAACAGGTAAGTATTAAAGTTATCATTGTTAACATTATCAAAGACTATAAAACCATGGTAGAGAAGAGGACAAAAGAAAAAAAAGATGTACATGAGAAATGTATTTTCTCAAGATACATATGCATGTGGACATAGTCTAAAAATATGAAAAACTATGTTACATTTTAAGGTATGTTTTTTCTCTGTGTTTCCTCAGCTCCCAACATTATTGTATTAATAATGAAAGATTTTTTAATTTATTAGGTTTATAAGTCACTTATACTATGCTAAAGGCTGAACAAAACATTTCATGTAACTTATTCGCAATTCCTTTACCCTTTCCTTCAGAACATTATCATGATCACTGAGTTAACCAAGGTGTGTGGGTGCTTTTGGGTTTTAACAGGTACCAGTCAGTGGCCCAGACCTGGAGGACAGGCTCCTTCATCCCCAAGCTATGAAAACTCGCTCCACTCCCTGGTAAGAGCTTCTTATAGGTCTTTTCAGGTGCTACAGGTCTTACTGGATTGTAGCTATAGTTAGAGGGATTTTTTGTTTTTGTTTTTGTTTTTAGTAGTTCTTATGTAACAGTGAAGAAACAGTAGGATAGCATTACACACGAATTCTTTGCTAACAAATGGCCTGATTAAGTTGAACAAAATGAGACACATTGGGTATTGCTTTTGCCATCTGGTGTCAGAACAACTGGTATTAAAGTCGTGTTACAGGATTTTTGTTTCTTTGAAAATTTAAGGTCTTAATTTTTCTGTACTGTTTATGTACAAAAGGAAACTTTTTTAAAAGACAAAACTAAAAGTAAGAAAGTTAAAAGTACTAGTACAAAAATCACGATAATACTGTATAGTTACATTTACGTTAAAACTTTTTAAGCGAATATCAGTTATTTTTGCCATGAAAGTGCTATTTCCCATGTTTTCTTATTAACAAAGAATGTATTGTACAAGTCATATAAGCAAAATACTGTTTGCCAGACAAATGAATCAGTAAAGGAACCTTCTAGGTACACCAGGGTGAAGAATTTGTGGTTGAATGTTAACTACTGTTACTTTCATGTGCTTACATTTGTAACCTAGAATTACAAAGTATAAATTTAAAAAATACAGTTGGTTTGATGGAATGCTAAATCATGCTATCATTTAATAATTCCAGGTTGCAAATAGAAATGTTCTTTTTCTGTGACTAACAGAACATTTTAAAATGAGAGAAAGTTTTCTTCTCAGATATTTTGCAAGCAAATATAAGCAGTGTGTGTCATTTAGATGCTAACTTTGTGACTTCCCTGTGAAATCCCAGCCTTCTCAAACCTTAATACAAGTAGATCTCCCAGGTCTCCATGCTAACTTCACTAACATGTTATGCCGACATGCACATCAGCTATTTCCTCATCTCTTTTGGAGTTAATCTTAACCTGTGCTTTGCCTCCTGTTCTGTCTTGACTTTGCCAGAAAAATCGAGTTGAGCAGCAACTTCACGAGCATTTGCAAGATGCAATGTCCTTCTTAAAGGATGTCTGTGAGGTACTATTTCTTTTAGATGGTGCCTTTATTTTTTTGTGTTTCGATTACTTATACTTCCCATTACCCATTTAAAATCGTCAAACTATACAGGCTCCAGAGTCTTTTAAAATCAAAGGATTGACCATTTCAGGTTTTGTTAACATATGTAAGAGTAGACTTTTTGTCTTCTGTGTTGTTGAGAGTGGATTTTTTTTTTTTTAAAGCTCTACTGGCATGTGCTTTTGATTTTTAAAATTCTAATATGTTTGTGTATGGGATGTGTGTATCCACAGACAGACAATGTTATTTCTTCAGTTTTGTTAAAGAGCTTATCTGGGTCTGTTCACCATTTAACACAGGTGTGCTTTATTTACCTAAGACAAAATTAGAGCTTAAACTTGATGGATTTAAGGACCCTTCTCCAAACTGACATCTTTCAAAGATCATTATTAAAGTAATCTTACCTTTTTTTTTAAATCAACTATAATTGAGTACCAACATAGTAGCCTTCATCTTTTGCAGAAGCTAAAAGAAATAATCTCGAGGCAGACTGGTAAATTCATTTTACAAAGCAGTGATTTGTTTCTTAAGCTTTGAAAATTTAGATAGGCCCTGCAGATAGCCTTTCTTTTTTTTTGTGGTTGATTTGTAGAGCAGATAGTTGGTTTTGAAGCTACTTGATAATTGCATTTCACTTGCTATCTTCCATATATCCCAAAGTAGGAAACACAGCAGCTTAAGAACTTGAACAGATACCAGCAGTAACCACCCATTTCTTTTTCTCAATCCTTACAGCAGTCTCGAATGGAAGATCGTTTAGACAGACTAGATGATGCTATCCATGTGCTGCGGAACCATGCTGTGGGACCCTCTACCAGTTTGCCTGCTGGTCACAGTGACATACACAGTTTATTGGGACCATCCCATAATGCACCAATTGGAAGCCTCAATTCCAACTATGGAGGATCAAGCCTTGTTACAAACAGCCGATCAGCTTCGATGGTAAAATACTGCTCACCTTATACATTATTTTTAGTAACTCCCAAAGCCTATTCTCCTTAATGTTTTTCTTAAAATCGTGGTGAAAAAGGGTCTCCTTTTTGAAAGGAAAGTTTAAAAAAAGACTTTGAAAATTTTCCTTTATCGTTGTGGGCAAGGTATTGGCTGAGTATTGGGCCCTAAAAAGCCTGTAGTGGCCCCATACAAAAAGAAACTTTGTACAGAGATCATTTTAGCTTAGATTTGGATTTTCCAGATGTGGGTTTTTTTTGTTTGTTTTTTATTTTTGGTGGTACTGGGGCTTGAGCTCAGGGCCTCATGCTTGCTAGGCAGGTGCTCTACCACTTGACCCACTCCACCAACCCTTCCAAATGTGTAATAATTGGGACAACAGTTTGTGCCTTGAAATAGTAAGATGTAAGTCTGAATAGTCAAAGCAGTAAAGTAAAACTAAATTTCAAAAGTCCTAGCCTAGAAAAAAATTGTTTATTATAATCTGGAACCTGCCTTCAACACAGAAAAAAATGTGAAACAGTAATTTGTACAGGTCCATATTTAAATTTTATCCCCAAAGGAAGAAAGCATGGGGAGGGGGGAGGTAGTTTTCAGCATAGCTGTAATTTAAGTAACAAAGAGAATAAAATAATTCAGTCCATCTTCGGGGGAAAAAGAAAATGAGCATTCTTTAGGGAGAAAAAGGATAGACTTCCACAGCCATACACATCAAAAAATCCTCTGCTGAATGTCTTACATTTTTTTACACAAATTGTTTTTTAAAGGATTGAAGTTCTTTTTGAACCTGCTCTCTAACTGATACCATGTGTTTGCTTGTTTGTGGCATAGTTTTTAAAAGTGACTGCATGCTGTGAAATAGTTTCCTAAGAAATAAATTTCTAGCTGTAAACCATGTGATCAAGGCCAAAATTCATCTATTACCCAAGTAATTAAATGGCCTAAATGCTGAGGGCTTGTGTTGTATAAAATAGGATTGGTTCCAGATTTCCTCATTCGCATGTCAAACTGCCATTTTTACTCATTTTAGAGCCTCCAAAGTAAACACCCAACAGGTCTGCCTGGGTTCTGAGAACAGTATTTTCCACAGCATAGATGACATCTATCTTAACAACCATAGTGTTTTGTTTTTAATGTCAGGAAATCTTGGAATTCACGCTTCTTTTATGTTAGTTTTTATTGCTGTTGATAAACTACTAAGTATGCAACCATGTATGAATTATTAAACTGAGAAATATGAGAGGATATATTGCCATCATTATTAGTGATAGTGCTAAAATAATTGTAGTGGCATAATAAGACTAACAGAACGGCATTTTGCAGAATAGCAATTGATTATTAATATTTGCTGAAACATTATTTATCTTTATTTAGAAGAATGACTTGAAAATCCTTAGACCTGAATCCCGAGGTCTCATCTGCAGCATTTGCAGTTCTTATTCCTCCTCTCGTAATCATTTTTCACTTCTTCACTGTTACTAACTCACTTCTTCTAGTGCAGCTTACCTGCTACAATATTTGATGTATCTCTATCTCCTCCCTAAGTGTGGAGTTTCTATAAAATGGAACTTCTGTCTTAAGAAGTGTTTTTTTTTTTAAGTTTTGTGTGTGTGTGTGTATGTGTTAATTTTTTTATTGTGCTGGGTGGGGGCACACTGAGGCATTTACAGAAGTTCTTACAATATATCAATATGGCATACTTGAATTCACCCCTTTAAGGTTTTTCCAATTTTTGTTTTTACCGACTTTGAAAATATGCCTTGGTAAGAAAAAATATTTTTCAAAATATAGTCCTCAAAAGCCTTGTAGAAACCTAGTGCATTTTAAAAGGATTGGTAGGCTGGACACCAGTAGCTCATGCCTATAATTCTACCTCCTTAGGAGGCTGAGATCAAGATCAGGTTGAGGCCAGCCCAGGCAAATAGTTCAAGAAATCCCATCTCCAAAATAACCAGAACAAAATGGATTCGAAGTATGGTTCAAGCAGTAAAGTGCTTCCTTTTCCAAGAGTGAAGCTCTGAGTTCAAACACCAGTTCACCAAAATAAATAAATTAAAAGGACCAGTAGGAGGAGTAATTGTTTCCTTAGATAATTGCCCTGAAACTTTTAACTAAGAAAATAGCTCACACTACATCCCCTAAGAAAGTGTTGCTCAATTGCTACTTCAGAGCATCAACAAAGGCTCTGCCAGAGATATTCTTAAAAAGGAAAAATCATAAAAATAGCCTAGAATATTCTAGAAAGAAGGGCCTTCTGAAATGTAGAGTGAATCTGACTTTACCCAGAGCAGCAGTGTCAAGATGGTAGCAAGGAAACCCAAGCTATTGTTCAGTATATCACTCGAATGAATGTTTGTTAAGACTGTCATCTACCCAAAATACATGTTAAGAGGAGTCGATATCAAAAGACTTCATTCTTTTAACTGGACATATGTGACTAGCATCCATTTAGAATTAAACGAGATTTCAGTCACAGACTTTTAACATATTTTAACCTAATGTACATAAACACTTCGCTGAAGGCATGGCTGGAAGGGTAGAATACCTACCTTGCAAGTGTGAAGCCCCAGTACCACCCAAAAAAAAAAGTTAAATTTCCTGAAAGACAATTATATTAGAAAGACAAACGAGGAAATGGGTAATTCCTACTTCTTTTTGAATAATCACTGTAGCCAGCCTGGCATCTTTTAATATTTGCTTTTATTTTTTGGATAGGGTTAATATTTTCATTTACTTAATTTCCTATATTTTTAATTTATTTCTCTGTATTTGCCTCAAGTAAATATAAAACTTAAAGAGTTTCTGCCAAACACTGTCATTAGTATGTGAAACTGATGTATCACTTAAAATTTAAAGCACAAAATCAGGCTATTTAGAACTATTAAAGTGTTAGTGCATGGTTTTAGTTTCACTCCCACTTGTTTAGTATAAGATACACTGCTGACAGGGAGAAAAATGTGAAGTAGAAAACTGAGAAATGAGTAATAGAATCTTTGATATCATTTGGGTAATATACAGAGTCTCAGCAGTATAGTTGTTTTGTATCACATCTGTTTATGGCTATGATGTCTAAATACCTAGGTTCAATGAGAGAGCTCCATGGTGACACTTTCATCTTTAATTATTTGTGGTGGGGGGGGCATTACTTGAGGGTTTTGCTGTCAGGCAAATAGATAATATTTTATTCAAAATTATCTCAACTTTTTTGTCACTGATCAAAATAAATTCAGAATATTTTTAACCTTCCATTTGGACAAACATAGCTAATGTTAGTAGCATGGGTTTATATACTGTACAAAATTTTGAGTCTGAAGTTTTAACTGAATGGAAGAATTTTCCTTTTAACAACTCTTATTATTTCAATCCAGTTTTTCTGCTAAATAGGCAATTTCTAAAATCTTTATTTTCATTAACTGCACATTTCAATGCTTCTTAAGGTTTTTGATACCACTTTTAAATTAAAAATTATTGAAAATGCCAACTCTTTAAAAGTTTAAAAACCATAAAGTTTATACATTTATGGAAATATCATTTAAAAAGGGAAACATAAGAGATGGAGTACTACCAAGTTTCTAGAATAAAACCCCTGTTGAAACAAAATACTTTGTGGTGGACAGTATATAAAGTCCCTTTAATCAGTCGTTGAGTTCATACTGGTTAATTTAAATCATTAGTATTCCGTGAATTGAACAAATTATTAGAATACAATTCACACTCAGAGGAATTCACAGTGAGTAGTTTCCAGTCTGCCCCTTAATTCACAAGACCTCTTATTCATAACTAATTAGAGTTAACATTTTTCCATTGTGAGTGCTAAAACCATTGGCCAGAATAAATGGAAACCAAGTTCTTGTTGGGTGCTCCCACAGAAGTCAGGCTATACACAGATGATGAAAATTCAGTATGCAGGATGATGTCACTTAATGGGATGGGCCTTTTAATTCTGAAATGGGGCTCTTCATAATAATAATTGGAGTTTAGAGCAGAGAAGCCAAAGGGTTTGGAGGGGTTTGCCTTCCCCGCTACTCCCCAGAAGTAGCAGCCTGTCAGCTGTATGCTAACGAGGTGAACAATTAAACTGGGTCCTATCTGGCTGGCCCCACAGGCTGAGGCTCAGACAAAGAATTGTTTATACACCTGTTGTGTATGTAGACAGAGACATTTGAATGTGGAGCAGCAGATTAAAGCCGGGGATGTGGAGGCCAGGGTGAGCAAGGGTTAAAGAGAGCTATAAAAACTGTGAAAGTCAAATTCTCCAGAAAATATATGAGGGCCATTTGCAAGGGGAATCAGGTTACAAAGAAAAAGTTCCTGCTAACTTCATTAACATGAAAAACTCCAGACTCCAAGCTCTCTGCTGGTCTGAGACCATTTTTTAAAAGTTTATATGCTATGTGTGCCAATTAAATTTTTTTTTCTTTTGGAAGCCAATAAATATAGGCTCATGTAAGAAAATCCTTAGTTTTAGTATTCCACAGAGGCAAAAAATATTTACTGGATTTATATTCCAAAACAAATGGAGCAATCTTTTTAATTTCCCTTATGAAAAAGACAGAATCCTTAAAATTTATTGCTTGGATGATTTTGTCTGCCAACCCTTTCATCAGAAAGAAGGTAGTAGAATAGTTTTTATTAGTTGAGTTCTAGAAAAAAAATTATACTAATGAAATAAAAGGAAATCAAAATTCAGCATATGCATTATCACTTGAGTGAAATTTCTGTTGCTAGTGTTTGATGGTATTGTCTTACAGAGCTCTGAGTTTCACATGTGCCATATATAACAAATATACACTTAAAGTTTAAATTTTAAAAGTCTATTTCCCTTTAAAGTACTTGGTGTGATGATTCAAAATGCTAAGCAAAGACAAAAGTAACACATATTACCAAAGATCATGGGAAGTTGAAAGATGGACGAAGAAATATTTAGCTTTTATGTTCTTCCAGCAAAGATTTCCTGAGCTGGTCAAAATTGTTCTAGTGGTATTTATCTTTAGAATAGACCTTGGCTTCTAAGGTTCCAAGGAATTTGCAGCTATAGATTGTGTTTATCCCATGTCTATTTTTATAATACAGGATTTTGAACTGACCTTCCTCTTAAATCATTGAGTAGTCTGTAGTTAGCAAAAAGGCACTCATGTGTTAAGAATAAACATGACTAGTATGCCTTAGAGACAGGATTTCATGAAACATTTTAAAAATAGATTTTTCTCTTCAATACCATTTTCACAATCTTCTTCACTGGTCATCAAGCTAAGTTCTTTTGATTTTTTCCAAAGTGTTTTGGGTGGAGGATGAATCTAAAAGCTGAAACTTTGAGAATGTGGGAAGAGGGCTGAAAGTCTGCCTAAATTTTTGTGGTTCCTCTCCCAGCTCTAAGATTTTCATGATTCTAATGCATGATGGAATTTATGCGGTTTAGAAGAAAGGTATAGTCAATTTCTGAATATCCAAAGGAACAGTGATGCAAACAATTCTCAGCAATAACTAACCCTCAAATGATTTTTAAAGTAGTTAAGAGTACAGTAAGTGAGTTTTTTAAAGTGTGCATTAAAAATAAGAAGAAGGATGAAGGACTGGAAGTGTGGCTCAAGCAGTACAGCGCCTGCCTAGCAAGCACAAAGCCCTGAGTTCAAACTCCAGTAGTGTAAAAAAAGAAAAGAAAAGAACAAGGATGAAAGACAAATATTTCTTTAAAAGTGTGGTGGAACAATTGACATTTTAATCCAGCCCACTGCCAGGTGGCCTGCAATGCCTAAAACTTTACTTTGGTCTCTTTTGTTTAGCTCACAGGAAACCAAAGGATAAACTTGCGTGGGGACATTTATATTTCTTGGGGTAAAATCCATACAAAGTCATAAAAGATCAAAGCTGTATTAATTACTCAAGAGGGATTCTAAGCTTGATAATTTAGTAGGATTGAAGAATTTGTTGAAAAATATTGGTTCTTGTGTATAGCTCCAGGCAATAAACCTATTTAATTAAAGGCTTAATCTTCTAGTTGACACTTCTGTTACTAGTCTAATAAAAAGCTTCCTCAAGTTTTTCTAAAAATACTGCACTAGCTGGGGGTATGGCTCAAGCCAGTAGAGTGGCTGCCTGGCCAGCGTAAGACTCTTGAGTTCAAGCCCAGTACCACCAATAATGCTAAATATTATAATAAAACCACAGCAGCTAACCTGGTAGTATTTGTATGCTTTACCTTCCTATTTCAGGTTAGCAGTGACTGTGTTAGGTTTGATTAAAGCTTGAGAATGAACATACAGGAGTTTTGTTGCTTGGAAATTCAAAACTTTTAAGTTACTTTGATTACGTGTTACTTTTACTGCTCTCTTAAAAATTTTTGAAGGGTGGCAGAAGAAAAATATATGTGAAAGAGCTTGCCAAAGTTAGATAAATACTATCAGTGCTTGAAATGTGGCAGTGTTTTGTTGAATACAGAGTTGTGCATATTTTAATAAGTTTTTCAGATTTATGTAGTGCTTTCTGGCTTATAAAATGCCTTATCTCTACTAGCTTATTTGGCTTCTCACAGCAACCCTCTCTGAGATTGATTGATTGATTGACTGATTGATTATAATCGATCGATTTGGTGGTTCTGGGATTTGAACTCAGAGCGAGGCACTGTACTACTTGAACCATACCACCAGCCCAAAATTTAAAATTTGAGTAACATTTTGTTTTGATTCAAAAGCAATACTACTCTCAAGTATTTTGAAATTCTCACCAAAAACCTGAAAAGTGTTGTCCGAAACAGCTGTTGAATTCTGATGAATGATACTATATTTTCTCTGTTCTGTTGTTGTTGGGAGGGGGCAGTATTGGGATTTGAACTCAGGCCTCACACTTACCACTGAGCCACTCCTCCAGCCCAATATTGTATTCTCTATTAAATCCTATCAAAGTCTTGGACAAAGCCAGGCTCAGTGTCATGTGCCTACAAACCCAGCTGAGGCAGGAAAGAATCACTTGAGTCTAGGAGGTCAGGGACACCCTGGCAACATAACAAGACTCCATGTTAAGAAGAAAGAAAAAAGTGGACAGCTCTTGACCTCTTTTTTTTGTTTTCATTTTAGGTTGGAACTCATCGAGAAGATTCTGTTAGTCTCAATGGCAATCATTCAGTCCTGTCTAATACTGTCTCTGCTTCAAGCACAGACCTGAACCATAAAACACAAGAAAATTACAGAGGTAACTGTACTGTCACTTTTCAGCAGTAATGGAGAAGAGATAGCATCTCACAGCCAGACTAATGTCTATGAATCAAAAGTCGCCTTGAGTGGGGGATTCCAAACAGTAATGCCATGAGCCACACGGCTGTGGAGTGTAGCTACCTACCATCCCATTCAATCCATTTGGCTAGGCCAATCATAGATAACTGTGGATGAGTAGAGCCACGTGCAAACCATTGTTCAGTATTTAGGTTATCTTTTTATATGTCTGCTTCTATCCTGCCTCTTCCCTAATTACTTCCTCTCATGAGTCAGCCTGCAGGGTCTCTGGAGTTACTGAGAAAGATATTTCTGAGTATTCTGAGATCCCTGAATGATGGTAAATGTTGTCTTTGAGATTATAATTGGAAATGCATACAATTTTGATAAAAAAGCAAGCTGTGGTCAATGTTAGAATAGAATTTATAAGTAAAGTACAAGTACATAGGTAATACCTAAGACCACTGAAGTAAAGTTCTCCCAGTTATATTTAACCTTGATGCTGTTTTATTTGTTTATCTGGGAAAATGTTAAGCTTATTTCCTTTAGTAGAAGTTAGTTTCTAAAATGTGTCACGTTTCCTGTACCTTGATAATGTGTTAAATAGTGTCTGAGAATGAGCATTAGACTATCAGTTCTTTCCACCTCTAAATGGTACAGTTTCCTATATTTGTGGATTCCTTCAGAGCCCTGTAACAACTAAGGATATTCACCGTCTAGAAAGCTTTTCACTGTATTAGTTGGAATTTGTAAGTCTGTCATTTGCTTTGTTTCCTTTGCCTCTTTGTTAGGTGGTTTGCAAAGTCAGTCTGGAACTGTTGTTCCAACAGAAATCAAGACTGAAAACAAAGAGAAGGATGAAAACCTTCATGAACCTCCTTCATCAGATGACATGAAGTCAGATGACGAATCCTCCCAAAAAGACATCAAGGTCTCATCCAGAGGCAGAACAAGGTATTGAATTTCACTCACGTGCTGTGGGTGAAACAAGACTTGGGAAGTTGGAAGGTATCATGCATTTATTAACTGCCAGCTATGTTGTGGATACTGTGTTTGGATTTTTATCAATGTGTACCCCATTTAGCCCTCACATTATTCCTGAAAAGGAGGAATATGAAGGTTTGACTCCAAAGTTTTGTTTTATATCACCATTTCATTGTCTACATATCAAAAAGAACTACTTTTCTTGCCTTGAGTTGTGTATAGTCTATAAGACAACTATAGAGGGTAAAACAGCTAAAATGAATTGTGTGTGGCTCATTTAGATATAGTCAGTCAGTGAAAATTTGATCTATTGAATAAGAGCTAATTATATGGTGTGACTCTGGTATAGTTTAAACCAGTTCTCAGTAAACTGTGGTCTAAGGGCCAGTATAGCCTGTTGCTTATTTTTATAAATAAACTTTCATTTGAAAACTATTAGTACTCTTTAGTTTCATGTTGTCTGTGTCTGGTTTTTGCATTACATTGGCCAGTTTGAGTAGTTGCCTCAGAGACTACATGGCCCATGTAGTCAGAGAAAGTTGTCTAGAAATTAGACTTAATTTTGCTCTCAAGCATGAATTTAGGTGCCAAATACCTCAGTGAGTTTTATTCTAGTTCTACATTACAAGGAGATGATTTAATGTATTGGTGACCCATGTATCCATTTATCAATAATATATACCACATACAGGTATCAAAACATTGGGTTTTGTATTGAATTTCGGTACAAAGGAGATTACAATGGCTAGTATGGTGGAAATAACTAAAAGAGCCAGTGAGGTCCTTTCTGCCATTCATGTACTTAGACGGTGTCCCTCTGCCTTTTCACATTCTCAGTATTGTTCACCCTAAACATTTCTCCTGAGAAAAATGAATTCTTAACATCCTAATGCAGTCATTTTAGTATGCATTTTACTCATCTGAAGAATGCAAATGAGGAAGTAAAGTCTGGGCCAGGCAATCCGAGACCACTCTTTTGAGGCACTTTAACTTACAGTTTTATTATTTCAAAAGAATTTTAAGGGAAATAATTTGCATCTTTCCTCCACATGCATCACCTCATCTTTTGCACTGAGAGTCAGCAGACTCTCTGTAAAGTATCAGATAGTAAATATTTTAGGCCTTATGGACCATTTTATCTGTCGCAACTACACAGTTCTGCCATTACAGTTCAAAAGTAGCCAGAGACAATATTCATATGCAAATATATGCAAATGAGTATAGCTGGCCCAATAAAATTTTTTAATTGTAAAAACAGGTGACCAGCACATAGTTTGCTGTGGTCATCAGAAATTGAGAGGCAATACAATCATTTGCTAACACTTAATACTAATTAATAGGGTATAATGTGGTCTTTGGATAAATTGAGGTTTGAATCATGTCTCATCACATACTGGCCAGTAACCTTGGACAAGTTACCACAGCTCATTGAGACCAGCTCCTCCTTCTGTAAAAAGAGATTTTCTATTAGAGTATTTTTGTGGTAATAATCTGAAGATGGTGCTTGTGAACCCATTTGGTTTTTGAAGGCCCCTTTGAAGTGAAAGAGTCAGTTACTATTATCAAAAAATGTATTTGTGTAATTTTTGATGTTTAGCCAGTAAGAAGCTATTGTATACTTCATTTTTACAAGGATTGTGAAGGCCATAGAGAAGAAGAGAGATATCTATTCTTTGTGCTCATTACTTCAAGGTTCTGAGAACTTAGTTCTGAAGTGCACATAGAGCTTTATAAAGTTACTCCAACACATCTCCTTCAAATGCTTTTTTCCTGGTTATATAGTCTTATTTCCATTAAAGAAATTTGGAGAATACAGAAAACCCACATACCAAAGTCACAAGAAACTCCTCTACCTAGAATTAACTCAGTGTTTACGTTTTAAGGAATATCTTTTTCCATAAATACATTTCAAATTTGGAATTATAAATTTTATCATTTTTATTTTTTTTAATTGAACAATTTATTTTTAACATTTTCACCTGACCTGAGTATTTTTACAATGTAGGTTTTTTGTTTTGTTTTAGCCTAGCTTTATTGAGGTTTAATTCACAAATAATAAACTCCAGCAATTTTAAGTATGAAGTTTTTGTCCATTGACAATGTGTGCAAAACGTGCATTTTTTTTTTTTTTTTTTTGCAGTCCTGGGGTTTGAACTCAGGGTCTCATGCTTGTTAAGTAGGCACTCTATCACTTGTGCCACTCCATCAGCCCCCAAATTTTTTTTTTTTTTAGCAGTTCAAAGTAGAGTTTGAACTCAGCCTCACACTTGCTGGGCAAGCATTTTACCCATGAGCGACACCCTCAAACTCTTTTGTTTTAGTTATTTTTCAGATAGGGTCTCAGTGTTTTTGCCTGGAGTTGGCTTTGGACCACAGTCCTCCTATGTCTGCTTCCTGCGTGGCTTGGATTATAAGTATGCACCACCACACCTGGCTTGTTGAGATAGAGTGGGTTTTGTCTGGTCTGGCCTCGAACCACAATACCCCAATCTCTCCTCCCACAGAGCTGAGGTTACAAGTGTGTACCACCACCCCCAGCCCTGTCTTGCACTTTTGACAAGTGTAAAAGTCATAGCCACTAGCATTTTAATTTTTACTACCCCTAAAATTTCCACTTGCCTATTTACAGTCATTCTCTTCCCAACCCTTGGCAACCATTCATCTGTTACCATAGTTTTGTATTTTCTAGAAGTTCATGAAAATTAAATCATACAGTTATGGTTTTTTCATGACTGGCTTCTGTTCCATAACATAGTCTGAAGCTTTCCTTTTAGAGGCTGTGTAGTAATTCATTGTCTTGATGTACTAGGATATATTGAACTCATCCCCTTCTATTGGATTCCAGTATGTTGCTGATACTAATATTTCTGTGATTTCCTTTACCTGAGTTTCTTTGTGCAGCTCTAATTATATCCTTAGGATGAATCTCTAAAACTTGGAGTTGCCTATCATTTCAAGGTCTTAAATTTCTCTTGCCAGTTTGCCCTTTAGAGTTCTGAATCTCCCACATTTTCTAATCAGCACCACGGATGGTGAAATTTCTGTGTAGAAAGAAGAGATGGCTCTGTCAATCCATGTGTAAGCTGCTCTTCTTCCTCTCCAGGCGAATGACAGAACAGATTCAAGAACATAGGTTAAGCGATGTTCTCATGTACTAGGATGGTGCTTTTGAATTTAGTGTGCTCATGAACCAGTGAGGGATGGTGTTAAAACACAGCTTCTGAATCAGTAGACTTGAGGGAGAACATGATTCTGCTTCTCACAGGCCTTGTGATACTGGGACTGCTGATCTGCGGATCATGTTTTGTGTGACAGGTGCTAGGATTATAGCATTGATTCTTCATGTATATGAAGCATGGAGAAGTCTTTGTGCTAAAACGTGAACTGAAAAATGTGTGTGGGTATAATTTCAACTATAACATTATATAAGTGCATTGAAGAAAGATTGAGAAGAAATAATGTCACGTCTGTGCAGCTATTCTGTTTAGTAAGATTGATAATTTTCATTTCACCTTTTATAGTTTTGCACAGTCAGCATATTTCACTTTTATAGGGAAAGCTAATGGACAATTTGTTTTTCCAGCAGTACTAATGAAGATGAGGACCTGAACCCTGAACAGAAAATAGAAAGGGAGAAGGAAAGGCGGATGGCTAACAACGCCAGAGAACGCTTACGCGTACGGGATATTAATGAGGCTTTCAAAGAGCTTGGCCGAATGTGTCAGCTTCATTTGAAGAGTGAAAAACCCCAAACAAAGCTCCTTATTCTTCATCAGGCCGTGGCAGTCATCCTTAGTCTAGAACAGCAAGTCAGAGGTAAGTAGGTCTAGCAGAGATAGATAACTTCCGCCCACAGGTGAGCAAACGTTTGTTTTCAACTGCCTTGTTGGTTAAGCAAGTTGTTTGTACATTCTTCCAATATGTCTGCCAGTGTATCACCAGGATCCAGTTTTCCCTGTAGTCTTCTCCTATCACTGTATTGGTCTGTAGGCTCCCTGTTTCCCACAAACTATGAGACAAGGCAGAGAACAAACAGCCTCTGGCTACTGCTCAGCATTAGTGCTTTGTGCCTTTTGCTCCTGTGGACTCTGCTCTCCCACGCTGTTGAATTACCTGCCTGGACCTGTCCTTCCTGTCTTCCCTTCTTCTCAGTGCTCAATTTCTTGTCAGCTTTACCCTGGAGCTCATCTACATGACTCTACTGGATAACAGGAAGCCTAATTGCAGCTTCTCCTGGCTTTACCAGATCTGGATGTCCCTTATACCCTGTTAGTAAGGTCTCAGGGCTTCTATGTTGATGCCTAAATAGGAGTCCCATAAACTGCTGGGCTAACATGCACTAGCATGTTTGTGTGTCCTTCAGAGCAAAGCTCACATAGCAGTGATTGAGGCAACTGCCTATTTCATTCTTCATGAAGTTCAATGGAATCTTGAAGAAGCTTTGCAAGTTCATTGTTTCAACATGCATTTATCATATGCCTCCTTTGTGCCAGTCAGCTCTGTTGTAGATGCCACCTTATCAAATAATAAAAACTTCCTGCTCTTAAGAGCTTCCATTGTCAAGCTTACCTATATGTCTCCTTGTCAAAGTGATGAATGTTTCATACCCAGCCTTTTTTCAAGGAACTCAGCAATGTGGCCCTGGGTTCCAGAACTTGCCGCTAGTCTTTCTTCATGAGAGCAGCTGTGTCTTTCTTACTTATTGAATGTTTGTTGCATTTTATCTGAAGAAGGTTCAAAAGAGAAGAGGTGTAGGCAGATTCTTGAAAACTACAACTGTGGACCCTCAGCATTGATTACAGAAAGAAGACAGGAAATCAGTACATACTAACTATATAGTAGCAGTTAATTCCTCCATTTCCCTCTAATACATTTAATACATGAGTGATACTGTATATAACCCACTACTAAAATCAGATACTTACTTGTCTTGTTGACAGACTCTTGAAGTATCTATAGAGGGTAAGTTTTAGTAGACCTAATCTTTAAGGGGTTACAGATAGCTTTAAAATATTCATGAAGAGGCTGATTGCTGTTGCTTATCTTAGAAGCATTAGTGTTCCTTATCTCCTGTCACTTCACCAAAGGGGTTTTTTTAATTATGTGTAACATCCGTTGTCTCACTCTGAAGGCAGCAAGGCACCTGTGTGAAATAGTCCAAGTGTGTTCATCCTCCCCTCTTCAGCCCGGGATATTTTTACCCATACTCCACTCAGCCCTTTACTATCAACTCTGTTGCCTCCATCCAGGATGTGAAAGTCTTATGGTCTGGTCAGCAGGGTCCCAAAATTTACTCTAGTACAGCCCCTTTTCTCTTTCACAGTGCATTAGAGCTAGGATACAGAATTCTTTATGATTTTAAACTGAGATCTACTCTCAAATCCTAAGCATTCAATGAGAAATACTTCAACATTTAAAAATAGTTATAACATCTATCATTCTCAGGTGGACCTTACTCACTTGTAACATTTGACTTTGCAGTGGTCTCATGCAGGCGCTTAGAAAAGAAAATCTACGTCTAAGACAGGGTCTAATGTCGAGGCTTGTCCAGTTTCCTACTGACTTCCTGGTAGGAAGTCACAGCTTTCAAAGCTCTAAGAAGTCTTTCGCTAACCAGATTTTGAACTAACTTCAAATACACCGAACTGTGATTTAATTAGGATTTGCCTTGATACTCAGAAAAGCCTACTTTTCTCCCACTTTCAGACTCTGGGCCTTTATTTATGGCCCCATGATCCATGAAAGGCATTGATCATTGACACCTCCTTGAAAGGCATTGACAGCTGTTTGTCAACAGGGCTTAGAGCGCTTCCCTCAGCCGGCAATACCTGTGCCTTGTCTTCTGTAGCACCTTCAGAGTTTGACATAGACACTGTCCTTTCCTGGACTTTCTCTCCAGCAGTTTAGAGTTATTTTAGTAACCTGTTCAGTTAGGAGAACCTCATTACACCTGCAGTTCCAAATCTAGCAGTTTCTATAAAGACTTAGGTTTTGTTTACAGGGCCTACTTTGGCATCCTCTGGATTCTCTGGCACCCCTTCTGGGTTAGGATGGTATTCCACACTGTGATCAGCCCAACCTGTCATCCCTAGAGACACTCAGACCCAGGTCTAGTAGTCATCCTGGAGAAAAATCAGAACAAGCTTCTCTTCCCAAGCCTCAGATTTTCCTAGATAACTTGGTCTGCCTTGATACCCCAAGAGCAAATCCCATGTGGTCCCTGCTTTTTTAAGTTTAAACCTTTCCATTGTCATGATTATAGTTTTAGTTGTAGCCTTGCCATTTCTGTTCCCTAGCAGATTTCACTTGCTACCCTCAAGTTTGTATTCTCAGCTTTACTCAAAATTCAGTCAGTGATCAAACACTTCTTCCTCTCAAACTCTTTCACAAGTCAGCTCAACCAGGTCATTTTTCTTCTGGTAATAATTTATGGATGGAGAAGAGGACTATTAGATTTTTAGCTTCCTGAGCTCCAAGTGAGTTTGTAGATCAGTGGGTTAGGTTAGTGTGGTTCCCAAATCCAGCTGGTCCCAGAATTACTTGGGGCTTTTCTTTCTCAAACAAATTTCCAAACCCCACCCCCAAGAAATCCAGTTGCAATGAGATGATCAAACATAGTAAATTTAGCGTGCGCACTGATAATACCTCTTTTTTGGATGCCAACTGAAATTGATAAAAATGGCATCAGTGCACAAGAACAGTTGAGAGAGAAGAAAATACCAAATAAGATAGCAAAACCTGCATGTCAGATGGAAAGTAGATAGACTAATGGCAACTGACTTACTTATTTCCAGATACTGTCCAGTAATCCCCTCGAAGTTAGGGTCTAATCTTGTGCTAAAAAGAATGGTTTAAAAATAACTTGAAGACAAAGTACATCATCATGAATTTTCAGAGCATCAGCATTAAAAAGAGTATCCTAAGACTTCTGGAACAAAATTTAAGTAGTTCACAGACAAAGGAGCAAGAATCAAAATGTCTAGATTCCAGGACATAGTGGAACAGTGCTTTCAGAAATCTGAAGAAAATAATTTTCAGCCTAAAATTCCATACCTAGCCAAACAGTTAATCAAAAGTAAAAATAGAGTAAAGCTACTTCAGATACAGAAAGACCTTTAGATTTTACCTCCCGAGTACATGTTCTCAGAAATCATGAGAAACGTAGACTTTGGGTTAATAAAAGAATGTGATCAACAAAGACAAAGGTATGACAAATTCCAGGGGAAAAAGATCCAAATGGAGAACAGCTAAAAGAAATCCAGTGACAAGAGCAGCTAGACCTAAAGAACACCCAGTCACTGAAAATAAAAGATGCTTAGTTGCAGAACAAAGGTTGCAGGGTGGGGGCTAGAACTAATAGATGTTCTGGTTTTCTGGTTTTAAGAAAATGCTTTGATAGGTGTTTTAAATATGTTGGCGCATTGGGTGGGGATTAAGATTAGCATTACTAAAAAATGAAAAAGACAACTATAGAAAAAACAAATATCTGTATCAGTAAGCTGCAATATTGTTGATTTATCAAGTATCTTAACATAATCCTAATACCATAAATATTTGCCTGGTTATAATAATAACTGTTGATTTGCCTGGTTATAAGTGACTGTTGAGCTATGTGAAAATTCTGCCTTAACAATGTTGAGAAGATATTGTAATACAGCCAAGTGCTCATCTACCCACTAGAAGTCAATAGATAAAATTCCCTTAGTGGAAATGTGAAAACACAAGCAAATATGCCTTACAGGTAATGTCTGAGTGCTACTTAACATCATACCTTAGCTGCTAACATATACCAAGAGTTATAAAAGAGCAACACTAGCTTGTTTGGATCAGAGTTGTATGTACTGTATTTTCTGCAGCCTGCTATAGTATTCTGGTTTGTCTACCCCTGTGTGTTGTCTGTCCACCTATGGAAATCTACAGGGTCTTCCCTGTCTTGTTGAATTTTTGGTTGTAGTTCTTCCCAGCTATTTTAAGCATGCCTCCTACATCTTAATATGAATAGTCATAGATAGCTATGAGCAGTGCTGCACTGTAAGAGAAATGAGAGCCTATTTCACTTGAAAACACTTTTCAGGTTCATTTATGCTCTGGTCAGTCTCTCTGATCATACGAGACCATTGCCTCCATGGGGCCATGACACCCCAAGAAAGACAGACTCTTCTTTTTCGGCAGAGGCATACTGTTTCTTGTTAAGAAAGCAGCTCTTGGGCCCAGCATATGGCTCAGGTAGAGTGCATGCTTAGCATACACAAGGCCCTAGGTTTGATCCCCTAGCACCAGAAAAGAAATAAAAGCAGTTCTCAATATTTTTTACATAATGATGAATATGCCATTTTCACCTGCTATTTAAATAAGGAAGAATATACCTCTCTTGCTTTGTTAGTCCTCCTCATAGTTGTATAGACTTTTGTCTTTTCCTAAATATAAGGTCTTTAAAAAGTAGAACTCTCAAATAAAATTTCCCGTTATGTACCAGTGGTAGTAGAGTCAGTTTGCCATAATGAAGTTCTTTGCTTTTTTTAAAACCCAGATGAAAACTGTGTGTACTGATGCATACATTATCAAATACACTTTTTACTTTGCTTAAAAGGGAGAGACATTAAAAGAGCTATGCTATGATGTATTCAGCAAGCCCTCATTCAAGAATATCTAATGAGAAAAAAAAATCACAACTTCTGTAAATACTATTTTACTACAGATTAATTCTAAATGATCTCTCTTGATCTTCCTCTCCATGTACTAAACACTTCTTTATGATGATTTTTTTTTCTTTCTTTTATTTTATCGTTTTTGCATTTACTTACATGTATATCCATTGTTTGGGCCACCTCCCCCCTCCTCCTGTCTCCCCTCCCTACCCCCACCCCTGCTTCCAGGCAGAACCTGTTCTGCCCTCGTTCTCTGATTTTGTTGAAGAGAAATTCTTTGTGATTTTTTTTACTGTATATAGTCACATTGGTATGTAAGTTATAAATGAATACATTCATTAAGACATTTTTAATCAGTTTTTTAAAATATAACACTGTTAGTAACAAATTACAGAAGCAGTCACGGCCCAGATCTCTTGTGCTTAAACTTTGATTTCTTATGGTAACACCCAGTTCTTCGATCTCTTTTGAAAACACCAGCATGACAGGTCCCTCCCATCCAGTCTTCTTTGCCATCTTAGAGAAGAAACAGTAGAGGTTTTTACCACCCGATTAATTGTATCTCAAATAGAAAGTACAACTCAGTCCTCTTGTTCAACATACATATCAAAGTAGGAGAATAGGACATGCACCTGCTTTCGCTTTCGCTTGAGCTGGTGTATTTCCTGCAGAGGAATAGTTGAGAATATCTCTTAATCATTTTAGGAACTGGTAAAATTTGAGATGCCCCACAGATGTCTCTCTCCAGGTACTTAGGGGATATCAGCCACATATCTATCATTGTGTCTTAGCAGGATGCTGAGGAGAACTCAGCCAACTAGTAGCAGTACTTGCCAAAATGTTTAAATGAGGATTAGCATGTTAATTTAGATCAAACAGACCCCTAGAGGACTAAATCATAAGCAAAAGATGAGGAAAATCAAAATGGTCACTAAAAATTTTAAGTCCCTAATTTTAAGCACTTAGGGGCTCACTAAGTGCTGAAATTTTGTGTGAATGCATCATGACTTGTCTCTATGTGAGATTATTTACTTTGGGAATGAAGTCACAAATTGATCAGCCCCACAGGAGGGGAAAAAACCTCACAGTTATACCTTATGACTATAATGCTAACAGTTCTTTGTTCCTGTTTTAGAGAGAAACCTTAACCCCAAAGCAGCCTGCCTTAAGAGAAGGGAAGAAGAAAAAGTTTCTGCCGTATCGGCAGAGCCACCAACCACACTGCCAGGAACCCATCCTGGACTTAGTGAAACTACCAACCCTATGGGTCATATGTAAACATCAGCCAGGTAAGTATGGGTTTTAGAAGAAAGTGCAAGGATATTTCACCAAAGATTCATCTTAAATTGTTAGAACCTTTGAAGAGCATTCTCTGGTACACATGGGTCATGTATAATTTGGAATACAACAGTTTACCTTCCTTTTATATAAATCAGAGAGCCAGTGTCATTTTACTGACTCTATGATTACCATTCTCTTCGAGATATTGTAGTATTGGAGAATTGTAGTTGCCTGTGATTTTTAAAGAAATGTTGGATCTTCTGTTCTGAATCATACGTACACTCATTCTCACAAATATCTTTGTAATCCAAGCAGAAAATAATACAGTTACTCATCCATCAGAAAATACTTTTGTTACCACTCACACTTGCCTTTTTATTAAAAAACGCTTGGCTATGTCATCAAGCAGTTTTCTGCTAACCATCTGTATCTTCTTTGCCATGAATTCTCTGTACACAAGAGCGTTGCTGCTTGCTTCCATTTGAATCACTGATGTAGGTTTATAACACAAGGCTTCCTCCTCCTTAGAAACACATCCTTTAATACCTCTAGAATCTATTAATGAATGTAAAGATGTTCTCTGATGGAGCCAGGAATACCCTTCTCTCTGGTGGAGTTGTACTTATTGAAAGACTATTCCTTTGATCTTCATGGCCTAAACACCTCTTTGTGTTTTTGTTGTTTTTTTTTTTTAAACTATATATAGTCACATTTTATACCTAAGTTGTAAAGTTAATATTTAGGAAGCTGAAATCAATGTTGACTATAGTTAAGTACTTGAGGCAGGAACTTTTTAGCTAGCAGCATGGATTATTAGTAGAAGGACTAACTTTCTTGTTAGAATCTGCTGGTAGTTGTGTCCATTTCCCTAGTTTATCAACAGATTGAAAATAATAAGTAAGAGGCAGATAGATGGGAGGGATGGAGCAGGAAAAAAACACTAAGTGCAGTGTCATTTGGTCAGCTTTGTGGCTACCTCATTTTGAGCTGAAAGTCTGGAATTTAATAGAATATTTAGTAAATTATGAACATCAGTCAATAGCTTCCCTTTTCCTGAAAGATTTGGTTCCTATCACCACTACCAGAATCAAACTAAACTGTGATTGAAAATTTCATGGGAGAGGCGGGGGAAAGGGAAGGGAGTCAATATAATTATTTAAGTAAAACTGGCGCCATGGCTCAAGTGGTGGAGTGTTTGCCTAGTGCTTGAATGACCCTGGGTTCAATCCCCAGTACTGCAAAAAAAAAATTGTAGAGGAGATAAACATAAACTATGATCACAGTATGGAGTTGAATGCAGCAGTAAATAGGTGCTTTCACATTGTCTCACTGTGGGCCATGGATGAGTAGACCTGCAAAGGTCTGGTATTGCCTCCTGTGTTGTTACTGAAATCAAAGTCTGCATAATTTTCCAAAGCAGTTGTACAATCCCATAGCTTGTGATTCTTAATAATGTGATCTCCTTTACATACATATCAAGTAAAAACTGAGAAACCTTATTCGAGGTTTCTCTTTCTGTGACTTTAGTTGCCCACAGTCAACTGCAGTCTGGAAATATAAAATGGAAAATTTAAGAAATAAACAGTTCATCTCAGGAGGCTGAGAGCAGAAGGATCATGGTTCAAGTCCAGCCTGGACAAAACATTTGTGAGGCCACTCCCATCTCAACCAATGGCGGTGCATGGTAGCACACACCTGTCATTCTAATGAAGGCAGAAAGTATAAAATAGGATGCTTATATAGTCTAAGGCTGGCCTAGAGGAAAAAATGAGACCCTATCTCAAAAATAAGCAGAGAGCAAAAGGGTCTGGAGGTATGGCTCAAGTAGTGGAGCACCTACCAGAAAGTGCAAAGCCCTGCACTCAGACCCTATTGTTGTCAAAATAAGTAAATAATTTTTAAAAATTTGTAATGAAATTTCACTCCATTCCTGCCTATGACATGAGTCATTCCTTTGTTCAGTGTATGCAGTACTTACCTATTCTGTATCCAGTACTCACTTATTTATTGGTCACTTAGCAGCCATCTTGCTTGTCAGATCCACTGTCACAGTATTGCATACTTGTGTTCAAGAATCCTTATATATTACTTCATAACTGCTCCAAAGCATAAACTTTTATTCTAATATATTGTTAGAATTATTGTATTATTTATTGTTCTTTTTTTACTTTGCATAATTTATAAGCTTTTTCCTCATAATGTATGTAAAGGGAAAAACATTGAATTACAGGATTTAGTACTGTACACAGTTGCAGACATCCACTGAGGACACAGCTTCCCCCATTAAGGGGGGGTGCTAATGATACCTTAAAAGGAAGAAGCTTGTTTGTAAGTTACTTAGCTAGCACTGCTAATTTAGTGCAAACCTAGCATAAGTGAACACTTAACTTGCTTTGCATTGGAGGAATGATGTTTATTTTTTAACAGTTCTGTACTAACTGGTTCTGTTCTTTCCCTGCCACAGTTCCAGAGTTATCAGTAGGCTAGATAGAAGGTGACCTCTCCTCATAAGGACTTGGACAACTCAGATTATCTGAAGACACAAACCTGGCAGGAGGGAGAAGAAGAAAACAAAACACTTGAAGCAAGAAACTCAAATGTAATCCTACGATCAAAGAACTGGTCAGCACTTCCCTCCAAAGTGAAGTGAGGCTAGGAAGCTCATCAGATAGAACGTCACCCATGAGAGCTTGCACACATCATTTGGTTGCAAGCAGCGTGTCGCTTCTGCACAATCAGAGACTGTCTCGATCTCTCCACTCACCGTGGAAGTTGCCTTGTGCCTAAACTGAATTGACAAATGCATTGTAACTACAAATTTTATTTATTGTTATGGAACTGTAAGGTCTACATATAAAGGGAAAAAGTTAATGTGGGAAGCTGATCTCCACTCAGCTGATGCCAGCATTCACTAAAGCTGTTCACGTGCAGAGAACAAAGCAGTGACAACCATTGGCCCTTAGCATTCCCGGCATACCTGTTAGTGTCTTAAAAAGGAAGGGAAAAGTCTTTTGTTGCCCTCTCCTATCCTTTTGCCATATTAATAGTGTTTTCCATGAAATAGGAAACTATTACTTGGTATAGCATTTCTCTCACTCAGTTTTGGTTTTTTTTTTGGGGGGGGAGGCGGGTTTTGGTTTTTTGGTTTTTTTTTTTTTTTTCCCATTTATTTTTATTTTCTCTTTGTGGGTGTTCTGTTTGATCTCTGACTCTGAATAGTTTATGGTCACAGTTCAGAACCCTCCATGCCACCCTGTGTGCATTGCACACACAACCTTACAATGGTAAGCAGATGCCATCTGTGACCATCACCTAACTAAGACTTTAAAAGGGGAAATTTGACCCCTAGATTTTTCCCCCAAATAAACATTGCTTTATTTCTAATAATAACTAAGACTTTTCAAGCTTCTAGATTTCATAGTAAAGCTTGTAATAGCAAGAAGTTTAAATTACAAGGGAAGAGTCTACTTTTAGAAATTGCTTTGTTTTCCAAGCAGTAAGTACTACATAATACAGTACTTGTAAAGTGTTAGCTGTAAGTAAGCACAAAATACATTCAAAATACCAAGACGAGTTTTCAGGCTGTGATTACGGTGAACATAACAAAATCCAGTGGTCACCAAGGCAGGTAGTGTGATAAATGAACACCCCACTCTGAGGCTAATTACCTAGTGGAATACAAGAGCATTGGTCACCCATGTTTCCTTATCCTAGCCTTATTTCTCTGTCCTTTGGATTGCTGGTCAGTGGGGAGGAATTCAGAGGGTGATTTAATCAACTGCAAACCATCTGCCCCTGTCCTAAGAAGATGAGCCAGATTAGCATTAAACAAGTACTTGTCAGTCCATTTTACTATTGTGCATTAAAGCACCCTCTCTCTCTAATCCTTAGGAGTTGTTTTTTAAGATAAAATAATCACTTCGAACTTCCATGAAATCTGTCTTCCACCACAACAACCCTGGGAGAGAAAAACATGCTACACAAGGTTGTCTTGGCTTAGTAATTCCTTGTAGCCAGTATCAACAATGGCAATCAGCACAAAGAAAGAAAGAACCAAATCACTATGTAACTTCAAGATTTCTGTTCATTTGAAAGAACAAAAACAATTAAGACAGAACTTCAGATCCTCCAATCAGGATGATTCCTAAGAAATCAGTCGTTTGTGAACTTGGTGGACTTTTTGGTTACCTTAATTTACATATATTCTCCAATTACATCGGACTCTTATCTGTGGCCTTGTTCTTCATTTCAGTGTTAATCAGCTAAACAGAAGTTGTTGCTTATGATGTGTGAGTGAACATATGCCACTGCCTGGCCTTTTTTCTTCGGAGCTCGTTGTCTTTTTCGCTATATTAGACTTTGCAGTATGCCCAGAAGCTTTCCTTCATAAAATAGAAAGAAAAAACATTTGGCTTATTTTTCACTGTAGCTAGTCTTTTATACAATAATCTTGTAAGAAAATTTCTTGAATTCTAAATATTACTCTTTCTAGATTTTTGAAATCGAAAGTTTTCAGTAAAAAGTTTCTTACTTTATTTTATTATATTAGGTAGTAAAAATGTAGGGTTATTTACCATAACCTGTTCATTAATATCAGAAATTTACAATAGCATTTTAAGACCATAGTAGGATTCTAGCATACCGTGTAGTACCTATGGAGTATTGTAAGAGCTAATTGTTCGAGATGAATTGCTTCTCATCTTGTTCTCCAGTTTCCATTGTTGGTTTATTGCAGATTTGTATCCTGTGTCAAATTCAAGGTATTATTGATAAACCTTTCCAACCAGCAGCAAGAAGTTCAAAATTTTTTGTGTCACTGTAACAGAAAACACAATATGTATATAACATTTATGTAGCAATAAATGTGCCATCTTTTTTTAACATAGTAAACTAGTGAGTTTTTTACATTCCATTTTCCCCAGTAATGTATTTTGTGTCTTTTCTCCATCTCATTCCTCCAGAAAGGTTTGCACTATGTTTCCTTGTCTGTATTAACTACATTATTGGGGAAACCCTGCAGCACAGATGGACTGGTAAAGCTAAGACAGTATGTAAGCCCACAGCCTTCCCCAGCTTGCACATTTCTCCTCATACCCTTCCCCTGATGGTGGCCTTTCAGCCTTTCCCTAAGATCAAATGAGCAGCAATTAGTAGTTATGAGAATCTACACTTGCAGATCTAGAGGAAGATGAGAAAGGTACAAAAGGACTCAGATGAAGCCTATTAACATCCCTTAGCGCACTTCCATATTTTTTAAATCCCTGTTCTCATAAGAAAACCTAATCATAATTAAGGAATAACATTATTTATTGTTTTCAGATCAAAAGCTCCACTTTCACACGGGTTTTCAACGCCACCCAAAAAAAAAAAAAAATTATCCATGAGGACTTCATGTCAAGCAAGAGCCTGACACAGTGAAAGACAGTGACTTTCTGGAGGGCTTTGTGTAAGGAGCTCAGTCATTATCAGTCCTCTTAGGACCCAGGCAAATCGATTCTTGGTGATTTTGAAATGCACTGTTCACACTGGGGATACAGAAGATCATTTTATTTCTTGTGGAATTTGGTGAAAATAAACTTTCTAGCTTGATTTCATACAAAATGATAAATAAGTGCTATCCAGGAAGAAACACATGATGTTCGAGCTGAAATGAAATCTTGATACCTAGTCAACTCCTCAGCAATGGGTTTATAAAATCAGGCCCAGAAAAATCACATGTCAACAGGAATACATAATGAAACAGACCAAGACACTGAAAACTTCTGTAAAACCTCCAGCCTTTACTTTCTCTTCCTTCTCATTCTAGACTTCTAGAGTAATTCTATTCAGTGACTTCACTATTCTCTGTTCCCATTCATGCTTCTCTCTAGCTCATGTATTTTTTTTTTCTTCCTTGGAAACAAGATTTTAAATAGATACCACATGAGGGGTGTGTGAAGTTAGGAGTGTTGGCTTCAACATCCAACAGTGCTTGATCCACATCCAAGCTCAGTGTCTAATTAACTCTACTCCCTTATCTGAAAAGTGGAGCTCTAGATAAAAGTTGTGTAAGGACTAAATGAAACAATGTATGGAAAACTCTTACCGTGGTTCTTATCACATAATAAGTACTCAGTAAGTGGTAAATATTTTTTAAATAGTAGCATAACCAGCTACTAGTTAAAACCAGGATTCCTCTTCAGCCATCCTGTGAGGTAGATGGTGAAACCCCAGATGTCAGCCCGTCTTTGCAGGAGTCTGCATTCTTCTGCAGCAATCCCCTGAGACATTGCATTTCTGTGGCTCTATTTTAAGAGGATTTTTTTTTTAATTGTCATATTTCAGAAGAGTGGGGCAACAGGCTTTGCCTGGTCACACCGCGTGGGTCAGCAGCTGTCAGTTTAGTGCCTCAGGAGGCAGATGGTAGGATGGAGTGAGAAGTGCAAAGAATTAGCCCTGGGAGATGAAAGGGAGAGGAATCGGGAGTAGTGGGGATGGCCTGCAGACCACGATGCAGATTTGACATTGGAAAGGAAAGGGGAAGGAAGGAGGACTGCTAGGAGTCTCAAAGTGCTGCAGCTCTGAGAAAGGCCTGGCAAGCCCAGCAAGGATCCCAGCAAAGTGGTCTATTGCAGAGTCTCGTGTTGGACAAGAATGGCAAGATACCAATATCAGGAGTTTCCTGAGGCCTCAGTGTGAGCACTGTGGCAAAGTTACTGCAGCTGGAGACTGACAGCTAACTACCCTTACAGGTTATCCTTGAATGGAGGCCTCAAGGCACCTCCAACAGCACCTCATTGCTGCTTCCTACACAACTGGCAAAACAAATGCAGAGTGAAGTCACCGGGAAGGAAGGGAACCTCAGCAGGCTGAGGGGTGCTTCCAAAATTGCAGCGATTTCCCTCTGGCATTCCACAGTCAGGTAAACCTGCAAGTGTTGTCTAGAAGGGTAAAAAACCCATGCCTCCCATGGGCCGTGGGGTGGGCTGTTGAAATCTGGGTACTAGCCCCTAATGGTGCTGTTGGTATTGTGGTGTCACAGGACACGGTGATGCTCTCTGACCCAGTTAAGTGGATTGTCCACAATGTCTTTGTGACCACCTGGTTTAGGAAGTCCACAACATCCTCTTTGATCTGAGGGGTTGCCCTTTGCATGCCCTAATCCATCCACAGAGGCTCACCTCTGCCCTGTTCGGGAGCACATTCATAGGAATAGAAATAAACATGTTTCGTTGGGAGACAGCATGGAAGGGTTTCTCTCTTCCCTTTGAACTAGAACTCCAATCCCTCCACACTGATTCAGGGCAGTGCCGCTGCTTGCTACAGTCTCCTTCCTCACTTTTGAGGGTCAGGGCTCCACTAGACAAGGTCCCCAGCCAAAGGGCCCTGGGAGCTCTGAGAGCATCAAAAGCAAGTTTGCATGTGGAGATGTTTGCAAACTGAAGAAATGTGCCAAAGATTAAAAAAATACATACAAAATGAAAATATTTGATAATCAAAAAATCATAGAAAATTGTTACAGCAAAGTTATATTACTATTTAATGTGGGACTTGAGCTTATTTTAGCATGTGATCTCAACATAGGTATAGAAGGAATTGTACTTGAATACAATGTGATGTATGACAAACAATACATATGACACACAGCTGATACCATGCTCGGCAGTGAAAAAATGAAAGCATTTCCTTGATGATAGGAACAAGACAATGCCACTCATCCTTGCCATTTCTATTCAACATAGTGCTCGAAGTCCTAGCCCATGCAATTAGACAAGAAAAAGAAACAAAGTGCATCCAGACTGAAGGAAGTTAAATTGTCTCTGTTTGCAGACAGCATGATCTTACAAGTAGGGTCTAATGACCTCCATAAAGACTGTTAGAACAAACGAATTCAGAAAAGTTACATCATAAGAAATCAGTGTACAAAAATCATTAGCATTTCTGTGTGGGGAGCGGATTAAAGCCTATGAGAAGTGGACAACAAGCAAGTTGAGATACAGTTAATTGCCATTACCTGTAGGCCAAATAGGCACAGCCCTCGGCCACAAAACAGGGAAAGGCAGAACAGCTGCATCTCCTAAGCTGTGTTCAGAGAAGCAGGAATGCAGGTTTCTC